GACCAGCTGAGGGAGAATCACAGTCTCAAACAGGCAGTCCTTCTGAAGGTATTAGCTGACAAGTGATGACCCTCCAGGCTCCACCCAGATGCCAACACCAATCACCTGAAAAGAGCAAAATAAGACTGAGAGACAGGCATGTAGACAGGCAGGCAGAATTAAAGCAAAGAGGGAGAAACAACATGGAAAATGTGTGCAGTTAATTACTGTATAGTGACAAGCCCAAAACATAACTATATGACAACAACCAATTTCTATGCTGAAGGTTTTGTTTGCATTTGTTTCTCATAAAGATATATTGTTATTTACTTTCATTCTTTTTCATAACCAGCTAAAATCTCCTCACAGGAGCTTTAACTTGATGAAGTTCAAGTGAAGAGAGACAATGGTTGACTATGTTTAAGTAAACGACAGTTATTTGCCTGCAAGCAAGTCAACCTTGAATGGAGTATTACAAAAAGATAAATCAAATTTAAAACATAGTAATGTTGAAATGTAAAACAACTTAGCCAAGTACTAGTTCAGGAGTGTTAAATCAGCCTGTTCGTACATCCATTGCTTAGCTGAGCCGTGTCAAACAGTAAATCAGTAAATCTGTTTGTATTATTGTTGTGTTCACATGGAGTGACCAAACATCCCGTTTCCATCACATCAACAGAGTGGTAGGCAGTTTCCCATGGTTCTGCCGGGATGTCGCTTTCATGTGGAAACAGTCTCTGGGTCCCCTCAGCCCCTCTGTTGTGACAGAAGATAATGAAATTCACAGCATCTGCCATTTGTTAGCATGTTTGGTGTAACTGATCTCCTTTTAATCTGTGGACTTCTAACATGTGTGCAGCTCCACAGCTGGACTGAAGCAGATGGATCCCACGGCCTCTCTGGGGCTGACTTGGGCCGGCATGTTTCCTTGACTTTTTTCCCCTGGAGCTAAAGTCAAAAGCACTGGGGAACGTTACATTTGACCACTGTTATCATAACCATCATTCGCTTGTAATGATGTGACTTTTTCAAATCAAACATGGTCACCTGTTATGTTCTTCCTGCATTGCTCTTTAGGTAAAGTCTGCTAAATGCTGTAGTGTGAGTGAAAAATAATTCTTGACCTTCTGGGATTTACTCCTCCATGGAAACAGAAGTCACACATTTCAAGTATCCAACACATCGTTACACCAACTCTGATCGCAGGAGAATTAATTACTATTTTTCCTTGAAACAAATACTTAAGTCATCTAAATAATTCATGAACTAAAACTCCAATATGCAATACTTTTACATCCACAATGTATAAAACCTATAGCTATAGTTTAGCTATACCATCAATTTTGTAAGGTGTTTGCTTGTAGAAATGAACTTACAGAGAATTATTAGCGATCTCTGCAGAGCTAGCATCTTTTAACTAATTGTTATGGTGTGATCAAATTATTTTTCGTTTTGATTTCTCTCACTGTTCTAAACATCATTATTTTTAAACTCAGTGAAAATGTTCTGCTTAACACACTGGATAACCTGCTAAAACAGCAGCAAAGGTCAGCGACAACCTGGTGAGAGAATCATGTGAAAGAATCATGAAGAAATATTTCGAGCTAAATATGTTCATCAGGTGGACAGAAACGTGTAAAAGGCCAAAAGCTACAGTTGAATCAAATTTGATGGATAAGCAACATTTTACTAAAGTTTTTTCATCAAATCTTTAAAGGTGATATTATTTAAAGAACATACACAACACAGAATAAACCAGTCAGTACATTACAAATCTAAAATAATTCCAATTGAATTTGGAGAATTTTTAGTCAAAAGCTATCCTATCATGCTTAATGTAAACCTCACCTGACCAATCCAGATAAACATCTTCTTTCTAGATATAAAAGGAAAAATCAAGGCCTGAATTGTTTGTAACAAGATCTGCCGGTGCAGCAAGCAATTTTTAGCAAAATGTATTAAAATTAGATGTGTGTATCTAAATTATGTTGGGTCACAGGCATATCAACATTTCTCTGACCTTTCAATTCCTAGATTTAAAAAAAGATGTTTTTGCCATGGTAACTGAACCTTTTTCCATAACTGCATCTAAAAATGTGACCGGTATGTGAAAGATGTACTACAGGGCTGGTATTTCTGGAATCACATCAGACGGTAATTTGTTGTGGATGGTTTTGCTCAGATAGAAGACTCAAACATCAACAGTCTCAGAGTCACCTCTTCATCTGAGAGCATGGATGGCTCATATTGGCTCAAATGGATTCAGTCAATCTTCATTCCTTACAAACCTTCTTCCCCCGTCCTCTACCCTCTTCATAAAACCTGGAATGTGCTTCAAAGAATGCACACTATCTTTCCTCAATGAATAAAACATCTGTCATTCATCAGCTAGTACAATATGTGCCGATTTAATAGAGTATTACAGCTCTGCAATGTGGGAAAGCTCCAGATTATGAAGACTCAAGAGAACTATGGATCCCAAACATAACTAAGCGACATTGCAAAAACCTTTGGAGGTTAATTTGGTTCATTTCTGCAAGATCAGGTCAAAGCTGAATAGAAATTAAATATAATTTTAGCATACAATCTTCTACAGTATAGGCTACATCTTCATTATATATCACTTGTACACAAAAGAGAGAAAGACAATATCTTTGGGATTCGGGATGGTGCTCTCTTGTTAAGCATGAATTTGAAAGAATACAGGTGCAATATCTGGCTGTGTAAATGGAGACCTTTATATTTAATCAAATCTTAAGCAGTGATACGCTCTCGTAGGCACAGCAGACCATCAATTTGAACCAGCCTGCACACAATAGAAAAAGCCAGAGAAAACACATCAACTTTCCTTATTTGGTCTACTTCTGAACTACTTAGAAACATGAACAATTGTGTTGTTCCTGCTTTTTGAACAAGCAGCCAGACAAACATTCTTGAGAGAAAAGTGGAATGCTGACATCAGGCTAGATAGCTTGCTATTTAACATATAAGGCTGGCTGTGGCTCAATTGGTAGAGTCGGTCGTCTCTCAACCAGAAGATTGAGGGATCGATCCCCTGATGTGCTCCCACTGCTTTGTTGGTGGCGTATGAATGTGTGTCAATAGAATTAGTATCCTCTGATAAACCCTTTACATAGAAACCTCTGCCTACAGTGAGTGAATGGGTAGGTGAGACATGCGGTGTAAAAGTGCTTTACAAGATGTAGTCCATTTACCATGAGCGTACCTCTGCATTTGTTGCCGCTGTCTGACGCTTTAACTCTTTAAAACCAACCACACTGTGGCCTATGACATAAAGGCAGGACATACATGATGATTGTGATCTAATTTCTTTCTTTCATCCGTGAAAAAAAGGGAAAAGGCCCACTGTGCAAGTCTATTTCTTATGGATATTAGATTTCCTCGATCTTAAGGTTGATAAAAATGTAACATAAACATTTACATTGGCTTGATTCTGAAGTTCTGGCTGCACTTAAACCCCTCGCTTGAAATATTCCCCTATTTGGTCTCTTTTTTTTTTTTCTTTACCACCAGTGACCTTCTAAAAAACACATCTCAAAGGTCACACATTTAACTAACTTAACATGAAGTACGTTACACACAGTTCCCATCTGTTCTTGAGTTGTCACAAACCTGGACGACACATACAAATTTCATAGGGTACCAGTTTTTATTCAGTCTGATTGGATACTTTCATTTACAAAAATATTGTTCCTGTTCCTACAGTTAGCAGTTAGGTGAAAACAAAGTAAAAGGTCCAAGCTGGAGTGGTGTAAAGCTAATACTGTATCTGTGTGGAAATCAGTATTTGATGGCCCATGCCTACAGTCTTTTAAAGTGTCCAAATGTTATGCTGTAAATTGGGGTAAAGGGTACTGCTCCAATTACACAAGTTCTGTGAAGTAAGCACACAGAATTTGTTTAGCTCAGAAAAAAACATTTTGGGTGACTTCTCCGGAATAGCAATGATTGTAAAAGGTAAATGGACTTAAACTTGTATAGCGAGTCATAGTCTTCTGACTAATGGCGATTGCATCATCAGAGGGAGTTTGGCATGGGCAAGAATACCATGAAGCAAAAGCAGTCTTAAGATTGGACATTGACTTTGATATTTGCATTCATCAGATGAAGAACATCTGATGAAAGATGAAATTGACTTTGAAATTTTGGGTTTGGTAATCTTAAGGGTTGACATTTGCTAAAGGCTTGAAATGAGGACACAGCTTTATTAAGTGTGGTACTAAATTGTTAGACAAGGTATTTAATTGGTCGCCTTTGGTGTGTTTGTGTGCATATTTGTATAGCTGTCCCCTAAACATCTTATCTCATCATGTGTTTGGTCTTTTTCTTATATTTAGAGATTTGGCCTAAAGCAGAAAATCTTTCCAGAGGGAGCCGATAGGGTCTCCTTTCCTCGTTGAATATCTCTTCACTTGAGCCTGCTGGATTTTACCGAACGATGGTTTTTGTGATTCAATGGCTCTCAATTGGGTCTACTATTAGCCTTATAGGCTCCTGTGTCTATTCATGATAAGACAAGATAAAATAAGATATGTTTATTGTCATTGAACAAGTACAACGAAATATTGTGGGGCAAGCCTGTATGCCTAATATCAGAAATATACAAATATTAAAACCAAATATTTAAATAAGAAATATTCTTCTGTGATGCAGAGAGTCAGTGGGGGGGGGGGGGGGGGGGTGTCGCTTCTGTGTGTTCAGGGGCGAGACCGCTCTGTGGTAAAAGTAGGCTAAATGTTTTTTTTCTCTCTAAATGGTCCATGATGCAGACTGACAGCTAAAACATTGAGTCAAAAGGACACTCAATACAGGAGAAAGTTTACTTTTCCTTGGGTGAAGTTTAAAACTAAGCTGACTTCGCCACCTACCGACGAATTAGAGGGTGGTTTCAGGTGTCACCGCCACTACGGCAGGTGGCGCTGTCACAGCCACGACGGCAGGTGGCGCTGTCACCGCCACTACGGCAGGTGGCGCTGTAGGCCTGTTCTCAGTGAGTAGTGCTTCCGCTATCATTGAGAACAGAGAGCAATCGGTTCCTGATAAAAAATACAAACAATGGGCAAGAAGCACAAAAAACACAAGTCCGAAAAACATGGATATGAAGGTATTATCAGCATTTTTAAAAAAAAAGCATGCATTCAGTTATTAAATTCGAGGTTTGGTTTCTTAATTAAATAAGATTTAAATTCGGGTTGGGCAGTAAGTTTGTCGCGTTAGCAACACCATAGTGCTAACCTAGCTAGCTGTGTAGCATGTGTCATTGTACGCATGCTACAGAGAGTAGTTACTCTTATCTCTCGGGTATTTCTGCATAAAGGCAAGATTTGTTTTTAATACTACGGTACAACTCATACATGTTAACTAGCTCTTTCCAGCACGATGTCTCTGCTATCTGTTAGCATGTTTGTTGAGGTGTGTTGGTGTGTGTTGATGTGTGTGTTGGTGTGTGTTGATGTGTGTTGAGGTGTGTTGATGTGTGTTGAGGTGTGTGTTGGTGTGTGTTGATGTGTGTTGAGGTGTGTGTTGGTGTGTGTTGAGGTGTGTTGATGTGTGTTGAGGTGTGTGTTGGTGTGTGTTGATGTGTGTTGAGGTGTGTTGATGTGTGTTGAGGTGTGTTGGTGTGTGTTGATGTGTGTGTTGGTGTGTGTTGGTGTGTGTTGAGGTGTGTTGATGTGTGTTGAGGTGTGTGTTGATGTGTGTTGAGGTGTGTGTTGGTGTGTGTTGAGGTGTGTTGATGTGTGTTGATGTGTGTTGAGGTGTGTTGATGTGTGTTGAGGTGTGTGTTGATGTGTGTTGAGGTGTGTGTTGGTGTGTGTTGAGGTGTGTTGATGTGTGTTGAGGTGTGTTGATGTGTGTTGATGTGTGTTGAGGTGTGTGTTGGTGTGTGTTGAGGTGTGTTGATGTGTGTTGAGGTGTGTTGATGTGTGTTGATGTGTGTTGAGGTGTGTGTTGGTGTGTGTTGAGGTGTGTTGATGTGTGTTGATGTGTGTTGAGGTGTGTTGATGTGTGTTGAGGTGTGTGTTGATGTGTGTTGAGGTGTGTGTTGGTGTGTGTTGAGGTGTGTTGATGTGTGTTGAGGTGTGTTGATGTGTGTTGATGTGTGTTGAGGTGTGTGTTGGTGTGTGTTGAGGTGTGTTGATGTGTGTTGAGGTGTGTTGATGTGTGTTGATGTGTGTTGAGGTGTGTGTTGGTGTGTGTTGAGGTGTGTTGATGTGTGTTGATGTTTGTTGGTGTGTGTGTTGGTGTGTTGAGGTGTGTGTTGGTGTGTGTTGAGGTTTGTTGGTGTGTGTGTTGGTGTGTTGAGGTGTGTGTTGGTGTGTGTTGAGGTGTGTTGATGTGTGTGTTGGTGTGTGTTGATGTGTGTGTTGGTGTGTGTTGAGGTTTGTTGAGGTTTGTTGATGTGTGTGTTGAGGTGTGTTGGTGTGTGTTGATGTGTGTTGAGGTTTGTTGATGTGTGTGTTGAGGTGTGTTGGTGTGTGTTGGTGTGTGTTGAGGTTTGTTGATGTGTGTGTTGAGGTGTGTTGAGGTGTGTTGGTGTGTGTTGATGTGTGTTGAGGTGTGTTGGTGTGTTGTTGAGGTGTGTTGGTGTGTGTTGGTGTGTGTTGAGGTGTGTTGGTGTGTTGTTGAGGTGTTTGTTGGTGTGTGTTGAGGTGTGTTGGTGTGTGTTGATGTGTGTTGGTGTGTGTTGGTGTGTGTTGGTGTGTGTTGAGGTGTGTTGTTGACGTTTGTTGAGGTGTGTTGATGTGTGTTGTTGACGTTTGTTGAGGTGTGTTGATGTGTGTTGTTGATGTGTGTTGTTGGTGTGTGTTGATGTGTGTTGTTAATGTGTGTTGTTGATGTGTTGACGTGTGTTGTTGATGTGTTGACGTGTGTTGTTGATGTGTTGACGTGTGTTGTTGAAGTGTGTTGTTGAGGTGTGTTGATGTGTGTTGTTGATGTGTGTTGTTGACGTGTGTTGATGTGTGTTGATGTGTGTTGTTGACGTGTGTTGATGTGTGTTGATGTGTGTTGTTGATGTGTGTTGTTGACGTGTGTTGATGTGTGTTGTTGATGTGTGTTGTTGATGTGTGTTGATGTGTGTTGTTGATGTGTGTTGATGTGTGTTGTTGATGTGTGTTGGTGTGTGTTGTTGATGTGTGTTGAGGTATGTTAATGTGTGTTAATGTGTGTTGATGTGTGTTGTTGATGTGTGTTGGTGTGTGTTGATGTGTGTTGTTGATGTGTGTTGGTGTGTGTTGATGTGTGTTGAGGTATGTTAATGTGTGTTAATGTGTGTTGATGTGTGTTGACGTGTGTTGACATGTGTTGATGTTTGTTGACATGTGTTGATGTGTGTTGATGTTTGTTGTCTGCAGAGTACGGAGAGAGACCATTGAAACTTGTGCTGAAGGTGTCTGGAAACGAAGTGACGACAGGAAGTTCAAGCCGGGACACTTTTTACGATGAACAGCCAGCGGACTTAAACAAACCAAAGGACAAGAAGAAGAAGAAGAAGAAGGATAAAGACAGGAGTTTTGTTTCTCCTGAGGATGACAGAGTTAAGAAAAAGGTAATATTACCAAACCCTGTTCTCTACGCTCCTGAGTAGTTAGTTAGTTTTAGTTGTTAATCTCCTTGTATTTAATGTTAGATGACAAAGAAGAAGAAAGGTCAAGACCCAGCTGGAGATGAAGACCGGGAACGGAGCAGAACTCCCATTCGGTCAGAGCTGGACAAACTGGAAGGTAGTGTCCTGTTTTCTCTTGTTTGCATTTCATGTTAAAATCTTTTCTCCCGCTTTTCAGCAATTCTATGTTTTTATGTTGCTTGCAGAAAAAGAGCAGACACCTCTGCAGGAAGCTTTGAACCAACTCATCAGGCAGCTCCAAAGGTGCAGCTTCACTCATGTCTTGTGATAATGGTTTGCTTGTTCATTCAAAGACTTGTTTTAAATGTAGGCGCAGGTCACATCTGTGTTTGTGATTATATAACTGAACCTCCACCCCCTCCCTTAAAGTTAATAACTGTTAAAGTAATTGTGTGTGTTTTCTCTGTAGGAAAGACCCCAGTGCATTCTTCTCGTTCCCGGTCACAGACCTCATCGCTCCTGGCTACTCTGCCGTAATCAAGCGGCCCATGGATTTCAGCACCATGAAGGACAAAGTAAAGAAAGAGTGCTACCAGTCGTTGGATGAACTTAAGGTATCTGCATGTACACAAAACTTCCAGCAAACAACTTTTTCTCTTTCTTTGCTGGTTAACTTAGCAAACAGCAGCAGTTCATATTTGCCCCCCTCAGATTTCTTTGAGTAACTCGATGACGGGGCAGTTGTCATGTTTGTGTTTCCTCTGCAAGCTACTGTCTGTATCTTGCAAAACATTGTTTATGAAGTCGAATATGCTTGACCCTGTAACAACAACAGATAGACTTAGTGAGAGGAGTGTTTTTGTAGTGTGCAGACTGCTCTAGCAGAGTCCGTGTTTTCACCCATTATCACACTCAAAATTCACAGTTGAATTTTCCGAGTACATCTTGTTATAGCTTAACGCTGCCTGCTATAGTAATATATAAGATTCATCTTCATTAACATTTAAGTATCAGGAAGTGACCGATCAGACTTAATAACAGTAGATAACAAATATTAGAGGACTACAATCAGGGCACAAAAAAAAAACAGGGTCAGGGCACCCCTTTAAATGTTTGGGATTGAGATTAAGTATAGGTACTTAGAGAGAAAACTGAACACTCAACAAACATGAATGTTTATGTCATGTCCAGTGCTTGATGATTTTGTTTCACTGATGCAGGTGGATTTCAGGATTATGTGTGAAAACGCCATGATTTACAACAAACCTGAGACCATTTACCACAAAGCAGCTCGGAAACTGTTACACTCAGGGATGAAGATCTTGAGCCAGGTATGAAAATGGTCTTGTCCTCTTGTTTAGTTCAATATACTGTGTTTATAGTATATTCCATATTCTTTTCTTTTGGGGGGTTTGCTTGGAAGGATAAACATACAGTGAGTAGTTGTAATCTGGTATCCATAACAGACTAAAAATAATGCTGATGTCTCCATGTGACCTACAAAAGCAAAGCAAACCATCAGAAGAATATGAATTGTTTCTGTATTCATATTTTAATGTCCGTCATCAGTGTCACATGAAGGATTTAACAGCACGAAGACCATAAGTGCATTTGATTACAATTTCCATGGAAAAGATTGAGAGTTAGCGATATTAATGATGATTAAATGATGATAAAATGACAGCAGCTTGTTCTTCTTTCCATTTAATTATATACTTTATACATGTTCTGGGGTCTCGTTTATAACCGCTGAGTATGGACAAAACCAGGCCTGAAACTGAAACACACATATTCACGTATGTGATCTATGAAAACAGACCTGACAGTAAAATATGGGCACCAGTAAGTTAACTCGGACACAGGCGTAAGTACATTTCGGAGGCAGTGGAAATTGGCAACACAAAGGTGGTGAATTGAAGCCTGCAGAATGTATGTTGATGCTTCTCTTACATTTTATTTCACTAAATATCAAACTTTACCACCAGATCCACGTCATCATAATCATTCAAACTGGCAGTTTCATATAAATGTGGAAATTAAGTCTGGGCATCTCTCACACGATCTTAACGCCTATTAATCCTCCTAATTAGTCACAGTGCAGGCAGATTGCCACGATCAAATGTGGACAACAATTGAACATTGTTCATGACTAAACTTCTGATTATAAATATGGTAGATTGAGGGAGACTGCTGACTGTCGTGAGCATTTTGACAATATATGAAGAAATCAGTGTGTGTGCCGTCAACATATAAACACTGCTGATCCACTGTTTTGACTGTTTTCTTAAGTTCCCTCAATAAAACAACTTAAGAAATGTTCCTAGCAGGTTTGTTGTGATCCGCTTGTGGACGAGGCTTATTAATGATGCAGCATATGAAAAGAAATCGGAAACCATGTAGGATGCAGCGATTTAGTTCGACACGACTAACATACGGTCACAATATAATTACTACTGCGACCCAATCCTCAGCTGAAGTTCAGTTCCTGTTAAACCCACATAGTTTGGCCTGTAAATGTGTAACTCCCTATTCTCTGTCAGAATATGTCATTATTTCACTTCCTGTACTGATGGCACAGTGAAGCAGTGTGGTCTTTTTTTTTTGATAATTCAACATATGGGGGTAGTAGATAGCCTCTGAGTGATTACATACAGCATTAACAGGCAGTTTTACGTTTCTCCAAATCGTCTGTCTACAGGAGAGGCTGGAGAGCCTGAAGCAGAGCATAGAATTCATGTCTGGCCTAGATCCCTCTGGCAAACAGCTGGGGCAGTCCAAGGACCAGGGAGGCACCGGCCTGGACCAGAATGGAGAGAGACCCAGCACTGCCACAGACAGCAGTGAGAGCTCTCATACACCCAGCACACCCAGGTCCGTCACCCTGCTGTTATCAGATGCTTTTTTTCCTTTAATCACAGTCCTATGCCTCTAAAGCTGAGAATAAAATGTGAGGAGTGAAAACATATTCAAATATAAATTAAAGATTAAAAATAAATGTATAAGCCTTAAATAACTGAAATATAGATATTTTTCAACAATTTGCCTCTCGTCAGCGTGGTTAAGCTGGAGATGACTTGATGGATAGAAGTCAAAATTCAGCATATTGGTGGAAACAGTTTTGTCCTGTGGGAGTTCTGTTGGTTTGTTTTCACCTGACACCACATGAATATGTTTCCAGCAGTGGAGCTGTAGGCAGAGAATCTGAGGAATGCCTCCCAGCATGCGGGGTCTTGTTTTCTCTCGTGGCTGTGAATCTTTCAAATCAGTGCTGTTGCGTGTCGGATATGACTCACTGTCAGAGGAAACTGCAGAGAAACCTTTACTTTAATGTTTTTTTTTATTCAGCTGCTTTCCTCTGTCTGGGTTACATCAGATGATACTGCATATGACATCTTTATGGCGTCTATTGACGTCAGCAGGGCTCTTACATGTAGATTATCTAATGACTTAAGGTTGCACATAGAAGTTTGATGTCACTGGTGTAGGTGTTTAGCTGCAGTGTGCAAGCTTTTTATTCTCATTTCAAAAGAAAAGCCTCGTCAGTCATGGTCAATGTGCCTCTTCCGCTGTCTTTCAATTAGTTTTTTCATTTACAGACACGACAAGGACTCCAAGGACGAAGCAGCAAAGGCAGAGAAAGAGCTTGAGGAAATTCGCAAGGTCATCGAAGAATCTGGAGGAAAGCTGTCCAACAGGATGCTGCAGAGTGATGTGAGAACACAGGGTTGAATAAATGATTCATTTCCTTTTTCAAACGGACATATTCGATATGAAAAATATCACGACTCCTGTTCTGAGTTGACGTCATAAAAAGAAAATTATTGGGATCTAAAAGACCTTGGTGTTTAGTGGAATTCTTTTTGTTAACACAAGCTCTGGCCTCAGAGTTGAAGCGTCTGCATGGTGCAAATGCATCATTCTTCATCTTGTTCATGTAAATCCATGTTAAGACACAATGCGGTCACTTCTCTGAATTCTGATTTTGTAAATCATTTGTTGTGTAGTTGGATTTCGCACGACGGAAGTCTGATGGCTCCACCACTCTTGCAATCCTCAACCCAGCAGATCCATCAGTTGGAGGTTAGTTCACCTGAGAGAAAAATTGCATTCATCCTTGAATCCTTAATGTCTTGACAACAACTTAACACCTACATTAGTTTACATATATATCACACAAGAATGCATGATTGTCTTGTTTCTAGCAGTACTGGGAATTTTTTTCAAAAGTCCTGCATCCGTAAATCGGTACAATAAAGGAACAGCAGTGGGTTCAGGATTGTATTATGATAATAATGTTTAGATATGTTTTTTAATACATTTTCAGAAGTTGAGAATAAAAACGGTATTATAGACTGACAAATAGAGGCCTCTTATATATCCCTAACTGCATTCATTACATGGGCTCATTTATCTTATAATAATATAACATAAAAAGCTAAGGAAGGAGAGTCTTTTGGAGAATATACATTTATTTAAGGCATTGGTAAAGATGTTCATTTATCTAATGAATTTGATATTTATTTATATCTGGTTTGTTTCAGTCCATAAAATTGAAATGAAAATATCAAAACCATCAAACATTCACTGGTTCAAGCTCTGATAATGTGATGTGGACTTGTTGTCTCAGCCCTTTCTGATTGTAAACTTGTCTGTAGATTAAGGAGAGCTGCTAGGACACAAAAGAATGCACCTTGTTAGAAACCCCTTGGAATCTGATGATGCAGATTGATCTATCATGGTATTGTAATGGGGGAAAGAACTTGTGATAGTTGGTGAACTATTTAAGCGTTTCCGTTGCAGATGTTGGTTACTGTCCTGTAAAACTGGGCATGATGTCCAATCGGCTGCAGAGCGGCATGAACTCCCTGCAGGGCTTCAGGGAGGACAAGAGGAACAGAATCACTCCAGGTACACCATTGTCTGCAAATTGATAAAATCAGGCCTCCCCTTGTTGTTGTTGTAGCTGATGTGACAGACAATGAACTATTAATCACAATTTCCACAGTGTCCTACGTCAACTACGGCCCGTTCACCTCCTATGCCCCCACCTATGACTCCAGCTTTGCCAACGTCAGCAAAGAGGACTCTGATCTGATCTACTCATCCTATGGCGAGGAGGCCAGCATGCAGGGCTCAGACAGGTATGTGCAGCACGGCCACAAACGCACTCCATCTCTGTGGTGTTCACACAGAATGTCACTGGAGGCATTCCTGACTGATTACTCTTCAGATGTTTCTCTTTTGCACTGAGGTCATCCAGCTGAGAGGAGGGGCTGCAGACTGAGCCTCGTCCTGACTTCTTACTCACTCTGTTTAATTTGTACAGTCATCTCACAGTACACTAATGACAGCATCAGTTTACTGTATCTCCCCCAGAAACACAGCTGATTTACTTTGAATTGTTTGCATGGTCCATGTCACTCCCTGTGTGTGTGTATCCGGGCTAAACATTGAAGGTGACTGGATGTTTAGTGTCTAGTGTAGTCATTGAGTGAGCATCTACAAAGAACCTTTAATGTTATAAACATGAAAAAAACTTAGTAACTTTATTCAGGATTGTTTATAGTTTGTACTTAATATCTCTGTGAAGGAAGACATTTGTATTTTACTCAATTGAATATGTACTTACAAGGATTTTCTTTAAGGAAGAGTTTGCAATACCTTCTGATTTGCTCTTTCGGAAACCTGTGTGTGTTTTCACCTTTATGTTTTGTATCATTGTAGTAAAATCATTTCATAATTGCTCAATGTCTGAGCCTTTATTTCTCTTGATTAACAGATTTCAGGAGGTTCCGTTTCATTCCTTAGAAACCGTTAGACGGCCAATAAAGTGATTGTGATTTTAACCCTGCTGCTTAGAAAACATTCACTTTTAAGTTTATCTGTTTGTGTGTTTGGCAGCTTGTCAGAGTTTTTGGCCAAATCAGACGAGTATGTTTACAAACTGGCAGACAATATCCTGGATGCGGTGACAAATGGGGAGCATTCAAAAACCCTCAAGGAGACAGAGCAAGTAAGTACCTAATGTGACATTCAAACTCATCCAGGTGAAGTTAAACAGCACTGGATAGAAATGAAGAGTGTTTACTGAATGTAATGTTTTTTTGGTTTTTTTTCAGCAGGTGGAGGAGGAAACCAATACACAAGTGGGGAAGGATGACATGGAGGTGAGTGTTGGTAGAAATCTGGAGCTGATGCCCACCAAAAAGCTGTCCTCTGTGATAAACAGCATCTGTGCCTTTCCGTGCAGCAATAACAAAATAACCATTGTGTGTGTTTAATGTAATGTGATGTTGGGAAGTGGATCTCCTGCTGTACAGCTCGTGTTCTTGTGTTTTACCTCGTGTGGATACTTCATTTCACTTTGGCATTAAAGATGGCCTCTGCAGATGGTTGCTGTATCAACCAGCTGTGTCAACATAGCAGGGGCCTGCCTTTAGCCATGATCCATCCACACATGGAAAGAACATTTCCCTTCAAAACACAACATTGCGACTCACTCATAGCTCGCTGTTGAAGAATTTGAAGGGGCCCGTATTTTCTTCTAGCGCCTGCTGGCTGGGCCGGAGCTGAATTACTCCTCAGAGTGACGCAGGAAACCAAAGCACATCCCCCCCTTCACCAGACACACAGCAACCCTCTGTCCTGCCCGTTTGCTGTTCTTGGCTGCTCTCCAGTTTACTCTCATCCCCTGCCCGGGTGTTGCAGCTTTTCATTAGGTTTGAATTTATTTCAGCGAAGAGGCAGTGTGACTAAAGAGGCTTCTAAAGGCCTGGATGTTCTCTTGAAGCGTCAGCTGTCTACTGGGGCATGCATCTTTTTAATCTGACTCAACATGCCCCCCCCCCCCTTTTTTTTTTGTCTTGTAGGTAGCTGAACCTGATGGAACCAAAAGCAACAGGCCCAACTTCCTACGCTCTGCTGCAGGCCTGCAAGAAGCTGCCGAACTCTCTGCGGGTAAAAGTCCTCTTTAGCACTTGTAACATAAAGTCATTCAATATAAGATCATTTTCATAATAAATCAGGGTATCTGCAGGTCTTCAAATAATTCAAAAATGTAATTAACCTCATACAAGTATTAGAAAGTATACACATTTAAGAATGTTTCCACCAAAATGTAAATGTAGTCACTTACTAATTAATGTTAGTTACTAATTATTGACTCCCAACTCTCATGGGAGACATATGAACTGGACACAGATTTGGTCAGCCCTGAATATGTGAACAAAGAATTTCATAATTAAAAGCTGTTGTTGCCATTTAGGGAATTCAAAACAAGAACAAAACTCCAGCTCTGATCTGAAGCAGTTAGACGAGCCTGTTATCTATTCAGCGCCCCATTAAGATTCCTCTTAGATCTTTCTAACAGCCCACCAGAGTTTTTCTCTCTTCCTATGCTCTCTCAGCCCTCAGACAGTAATGTTACAGAAAGGAACAAAGGATGTACTGTTCAATACAGAGGACAGGTGGGATTACCAACCAAGTAACATGAGGAACTCAGAGAAAAAAAGCAATAACTGAATGTGTGCTGTCTTTCTTTACCCCGTCTTGTCACAGAGGCTCTGCACTTCCAAGAGAAACTGGACGAGACTACAAAGCTCCTGCGAGACCTGCAGGAAGCTCAGAAAGAGCGTCTGAGCACCAAGCAGCCGCCAAACATGATCTGCCTGCTTGCCCCGACTGCGAAGGAGCTCGAGCTGGGTAAGAGCCTTTCAATCGTAGACCATTGTTCTGCATTATAACCATGGTCACCAGCTGAAGACTACCAACAACACCCCAGTTATTTTGTTAGATTTTAGCTCAACATGAGTTCTATGGATCTTTGATTCAAATAACCAACCCCCACCCACAGGGACCTTTTCCTTATAATGACTTTGCATAGAAAACTTTCCAAAGAACAAAGCTGGCTAGTGCTACCAATCTTTATTACTGATGTGGTTAATATGAAGCAACAGTTATTTCCTGGTGAGCGTAGCTTATGGAGATGGGCAGAGTGTCCATTAGGATAACAAGTTGACTAAAAGGCATTATTGGACAGGCTCATGACAGGCCCGGGACATCACAGATACAGGGTTGTATTTAAGTTTGTTTTTTTTGTCAATAGCGTGCGTTGCCATGAATTTACTTTTTCAATTGAAAAAAAATGATTTTTTAATTTCTTGTTACTTTTCCATCTCTGTCTGCAGCTGAGAAGGTGACAGGGAACCTGGCTGAGTTAACAGGTCAGGTGGCCCCGTGTGATGTCAGCACCGTGTACGGCATCAGGAGGGCCATGGGCGTTGCTTTACCTCCGGGACTGCCTGAGACATTCATTGACCTCACTACAGGTAGACATATTGAAATTTCATGAATGCTGTTTTTAACTTAAATGTTTATATTAAAAGAAACATCATTAAGAAGTTATAACATCTAATTTAAACTTTTCAATGTTTTCAGTGCGGGAGACGGCTGAACCAATGGAGACCATGTCTAGTTGTCAGGATACAGCTCCAATCATCACTGTATGATTTGATTCCAACAACATTCACAGTTTAGTAACTTAATTTTTGTAGAAAGTGTGTTTTTTGTGTCATTTTTATGCATTTCATTCAATAAACTTCTTTTTATATAAACTTTGGCTCTTGTAAAATACTGAATGCAGACTTAGGAAAACATTTATTACATTCTGTAACTGTACAAAAGTCAATGCCACTTTCATTCACATAAAGGCCAATACTTTAAAATTTTTGTTAATATGTATCAACAATTACAGAAACATGATGGTCTCAAAAAGATAAGGCCACGAGACAGATCAAGTTTTCAGAGACACAGAGCGATTGGGATCAGTTCAGGAGATAGTCTGAGCTGGGTTCAGAGAAAACTTCACAGCAGGCAGGTTGTTAGGTCACAGACAAAAGAGCTTCACAGGTTTCCCTCTTTGCAGCATTTATGCAGACAAGCAGCAGCACTCAAACATACAGCACATGGATTTGTGACAAGTCTGTTTTCTCCTGAAAAGCAGCAAATAGCCTGTAAGAAATTTCATTTGAGACACTTTATTCTTGTTTTAATACACAGCTGGACCTCTATTAAAGGTTTAGAAAAAGAACAAATTATTATTATGCGAGTATCTCCGATGAAGGCATGAAAGAAGATCTATTTCTGATAACGCTCATTACACAGTAACAGAGCAGTGGGTCCAGACTTGACTTTCAAATGATGATCCAAACAGAATCCATTGTTTTGTTTTTTTAAGGACCAAAGAGGTCTTCAAAAATAACAACTGAAGTTGGCATTGGTGCAATACATATTTTAACTACCGATAAACAAGTTAAAGACAAGAAGTACAAAGGTGACGGACCACTGGACGTATATCTGTTTGTGAAAGGAAACAAAGATGATGATTGTACATTCTGACCACCTCTTCATCGTCCTGATCCATCTGAAAGGTTGGAAAGTGTTGCTTCATTGTGACATCACAGGAACCCAGCTGCATCAGTCAGTTTGTGCTGTGCAGGAGCGTTTGAACTCTGACCCCTTTACACAAATCTGTCTCCAATTCTGCTTTCTTCAGCAGCCTGACCTCAACTCATCCCCATGCTCTGTTGCTTGCTCATGTCCGTACACACAAAGAAGGTTTTCAGCTCCCCTTTGCCCTTCACATTAATGAATCCTCGACACTCGCAGGAGTAGCCTAGCTTCTGCAGCACCTTCGTTGTTTCCTCTGTGACCTGGAAGACAAAGAAGGCTTAAATATTGCTAAGAAAACTTAACGGTCTGATTTAAAAGCACATCTTGAGAAGTGTTGAGAAGTTCCCTGTCGTAAAAAGAACACCTGGCTCCTCTTATAGAAGATAAGTAAAGAAGAAATATGAGTGTCTTTGGATCCACACTAAATGTAAAACAGCAAAAGAGAGGAAAATATCCAGTGTGATGACACAATAGTATTAATTTGACTTGCTGTTGAGAGGATTTTCATCACTGTTCCAAGCAGATAAAAATTAAAATAGAGCCAGTGTGATTTATTTTTACACTTGTGATCATGAAGAGATCTTCAGCACAGGGCTGCAGAGGTGTATCAGTGTGAAATGTGTTTGTGACACTGTTTGACCTGTATAAACAACAGGTGAAGTGTTTCAGTTGGGCTCTGTACCTGGATCTTTCCCAGCTCCCCGGTGCTCTCCATCCTGCTGGCCACGTTGACTGTGTTGCCCCAGATGTCGTACTGAGGTTTCCTCGCCCCGATCACTCCAGCTATCACAGGGCCATGATTGATGCCTGAGAAGAATGAAAAAAGAAAAGACAGGATGACACATCAGTTTGAAAGGTCATCTAAAGATCTCAGGCTGCACAGAGTTGGTGAGGTAGCAACATATATGCCATAATGGACAAGCTTAAGAAAAATGTTTTCAGTTATTAATGCAATTCTGGTGGTTTACAGTCCCTGATTTTTCAAGGACATTTTCTGTCTGGTAAAGGAAAAGCTATCACCATAGCTGCCTGGAGAGACAGAGAGGACATCTGCAAACTAAATTAACTGTTTCCCTGAGAAGCCAAAAAGTGAAGTATTATTCCACCGCATCTGAAGTTTGAGTTTTAAAACTCGAAGAAATGTCTGCTTCACACTCACAGCAAACTTCACATAAAGTGAAAAGAATTCTCTGGGTTAGCTTAACCTGAACTGGAGAAATTCATTTGACTATTTTTGTTAACACTTTATTCGAAAGCCTTCCAACCACGTTGACATCACAGAACTATATAGCAAACTGAGAATTTGATAGAAGAAAACAAACATCTCCCTCTCAAAAACAAAGAGAGTCAAATAATATACAATCATTTTTATTGTATTCAGAGGTTAATCAGCTACAGTGTTACTTTCTTGTGTATGAGAAGTAGCTTTTGGTTGCTATTGTTAGCTAATGTTAGCTAAATTAAATATTGCTGGTGAGATAGGGGGGAACAGGATGTGGTATATGAGTGGTCACAGTGCAATGGTGCATCACAGAAGATTGTATGCAGATGGCCGCAAAAGGTTAATATAGCTGATGAGACAACAAAACCAATAGAAAACTGTGAGAAGTGGAAACAATGTGTACACAGTGTTGCAGTCCAAAATAGAGCAGAGTAGGAGAGAAACAACTCAATGCTGCTCAGGGCAAGAGGGTGAGTTCACATTTCAAACACTTAAAATAAATAAAACCAAAAGTCACCGACAAAACACTCAACATTGAGTGAGTCAGAAAAACAAAAAACATCCTGAAGAAAGAAATAAAAAAGAGCAGGAGAAGGTAATAGCTATCGCTGGCTACAATTGGATTTCTTTGAATTCAAACATAAAGTATTTTAATTGCAACTGCATTTGAATTATATTTTGACATAGATTTAGCTGAGTCATTGTCATGTGATTATTTATATCAAACACAACAAGGACCACTCAAGAAGACACTACCACTCTCTTGACTAACATTGAGCTTACAGTGCACAGTCATATTCTATGTTTCAACTAATCTTGTTGTTGCACTGCTGTTACATAATGTTTCAACCTTTACTTTTGTGCTGTAATTGTCACCTGTGGAGCGCAGTGGTAGGGCTGAAGAACATTTCACTTTCAGTTTGTTTAAAAGGTGCAGTTCTAGCTCGAGTTTTGCAGCAAACAATGGAGCAAATTAAAGAGCATAATCCTATATACACTGCCAAATGTACCTCTGACCGCAAAAAAAACAAACATTTCTTAACACTGGTCAAAGAATAGGGTACCTTTCATATACACATGTATTCAAAAAGTATTAGTTTGAGGATTTGGCTTCACAGTCCATCACAAGGAAAGTGCCCTGTTGAAGGTTTACGGCACTCTGCAAAACTTGAGTTTTTATGTCTCATAAGTCTCGTAAGTTTGTCTCTTTAGCAAAAACTGTACCCAGACAGCAAACATCAAATCCTCTTCTGACTTCTGTCTCTACGCTAACAGCCACTGTAACATTATTTAAAAGCATCAGCCATAAAGCACAGGCTATACATTTCTGTCAAAGGAAACAGTACATTAGCTTGAAATATTGCTGTAAGGAATAAGAAAAAGCTCAAATGCCAGTCACGTTTTGCACAATGTAACCAGGGAAACGTGTCGCCTTATTGTGTAAGCTGGATACAGTGCAGTGCAGTAGTCATCAATGAAAGGTTCCTCCCCAAGCTGCCAAACAGCTGAGCACACTCACCCACACGCAGCCTGAAGCTATTGAAGGAATGTCTGTTGATGCCGTCCAACTTGCCGATCAGAGCGATGGCAAACTCCACCATGATCCCGATCTGTGCCTGCTGTCGCTCTTTGTCCTGAACAGAACATTCAACAGAATCATCATGAAACATTCATGTTTATATGACAACTATAAAATTGTGATCATGCTTTGCAAGTTAACACAGGCGTTCTGACCCAGGCCTGAACCTGGTCTGAGGCAGCTGCTACTCCACCTGATTGTTCTCCTGACCAGGCGTCCCACTGAGCCCTGCAGCAGCCATGTACGTGCTGCCAATTGTCTTGATCTTCTCCATACCGCTGAATTTGGGCTTGGACAGCAGCTGTTACGAGTAAGAGAAAAACAAGAGTGTAAGATGTGTGGGAATTCATCATTCCTCATTTCATCATTCTCAGTATTTTCTCCTGTTGGCATGAAATGCAATGGGTATTCAACTCTTATTCTTAGTCCTGAGTTTAGATAACAAGACTGTGCTGTGTCTCTTAACACTCAAACATCATGTATCACATTGATGCACTCAACAAAGACTAAAGGGATGAGAACCAAAAAGAGGATCTTTGTATTTCTAACCTCGTCAAAGTCAGCGATGATCTCGTTCAGGAGCCTCAAGCATTCCAGACCGTCCTTGTTGATATCACACTCGGTGTAAAACTCTTTGAAATCAGGAACCGAGGCGAACATAACACACACACAGTCATAGGACTTGTAGTACAGGTCCTGTTTGGGGAGAAAAACAAAAAGTGAATAATATTAAGCAGTAAGTTTCAGGATCAATAAACCGATAATATCTATATAATCATAAATATTCATAAAACCACAATTTACTATTTTCTTTTTGTTCCAAATCATTAAGTGAAAAAGTAAATATAATTCAAGAAATATAGCACTGTTTTTCAAGAAAGTCTCACCTCGTTCTTTTTATTTTCCCCAACAAAAAGTGCTGCTACGTGGGCTGGAAGCACGTTCTCCAGCAGCAGCCGGTTCAGGTTCTCCCTGGTCTCGATCTCGTCCTGCTCTGTGCGGTTCTTATACTTTAGCAGGAAGTCCTGGCGGAAGCATGACTCATTCTAGAAAAAAGGAGCAAAGAGAGTTTAGAGTTTCTGCCTCCTTTCCTCGCTTCCTCCAACTAAGATGCAAGCGAAGAGGCAGATTAAGATGTTTAAAGGTGTTTGCTTTGGAGCCTTCATTTTAAAGAACATCAATTGTGTTCATCAATGTTTTTTCATTACCATTTTACAATAATTGGAAGGGCCAAACTGGCAAATATTAGAAAAACAAAGATTTGTTTCTGAGAGATTCAAACGTTCCTCTGAACTTGCATTAGCTGTACATTTCAATGCTCTTTTAGTATTTGTTTTTAACAGTGGGTTTGTGATGAAAGGGAAAATAAATTGTAAAAGCAATGAGAATGACAGAGAAGTTTGGCATTACCTGTTGTGAGATGATGAGCACAGTGACCAGGAACAGGGTGATATATATGCAGCTCATCACCTGAGGGTGCTTCACCAGCCCCAAAAATCTCAGCGCACAGTCACCCTCAGAACTGTAGAACAAACATGAACATTCAAGTCCATTACATGTCTATACATAAATAATCATTCCTATGGAAACAAAAACTGAACTGACCTTTGACCACCAGCACTGATTGCTTACATGTTTCAAGTGTTTCTCACTAAACTACTGTGTTGAACTGATTAACTGTATGTTCAGTCCCACCTGCTGCAGTTCCAGGAGTCTGGACTGATCTGACCGAGGAGGACCTTTTCGTAGCGCTTGAACAGTTCGCTCTTGATGCTGAGGATGATGCTGTAGTATGCTGCAGTGGCCACGCTGACGAAGAGCACCTTGAGCTCAAAGCTCACCCGGAGGAAGACTCCACATGCAATGAGTGAGAGGATGCAGCAGTACACCGAGTACTGAGGAAGACAGAGGTAAGGGATGGAGTTAGACCAGGGCCATATGACAGCAACAACAACTGTCGTTAACATTCAGGTCAATAACATCAACATCACATTACATTGCTTTTTAAAAACAAACTATAATGTATGAACATAAAGAACCTTTATTTATCATCTTAAATGATTGCATTAATTATACACTATTTGTTTTTAGAACCATAAGGTATTTGGTATATTGTATTTCATTATGTACATATATAATTTAAGTCCTCTTGAACATATAAAAAATCAATGCAGTGCGGCTGAAAGCTCCACCAGAAATCTATAACGTGGACTATGTGAAAACACAAGCCTATAATGTAATGCACTTAATGCACATAAAAATAAGCTTGCATATCACCAAATATATTATTTTATGACGGATAGGAGTTATTCAGGTGTGGCTGATCTGACTGACGGGCTTGGGGTCGTAGTAGCTTTTTGTCAGGAGGATGACCCAAAGTTAGTTTGGAACAGCATTTCCAATATGGCCGCCGCCATCGATGGGCTTAAAAGGGTTTTACGTCACCGAGACTACGTCCATGTTTATACAGTCTATGTTAGGAACGTTCATTTTAAAACACAATTTTTACTGAACAGAAGTTTTTGTAGAAGGAATGTGTGCGATGTGGATCAAAGTCTACTTCAAAAAAAATAATCTTAGTGTTTCCCCACAGGCAGCTGATGATGATGGTGATGATATCAATTCAATTCAATTCAAAAAACTTTATTTGTCCCCGGGGGGATTTGACGTCAAATGTTTTCTGATGTTCTGGTCTATGCACTGTATGCACATCAGATGATGCACAAATCCACGCTCATGGTACCAATTTCTTTCTCTCAGTTGAGGAGATGCATGAACATGTTTGTAAATGCTATGTAATCCAGTCCAATACACAAAATGAAATGTCATTACAGTTGAGGTTTAATAATTCCATCACTCACAGGCAGACAGAGGAAATCGGCCTCTAATCCCTGCCCACTGGAATCATTTCTGGGACACAGGGTGTCATTATCACGGGAACATTCTGTCACACGAGTCAGGACGAAGCACTGCAGGGGGGATAAAACTGAATTTACTGACAGGCAACATGCTTTGAAGTCTGGCATGGTAGCTATTAAGTGTAGCACAGCCAGAAATAGCATAGAGTACATAATGAGCCTCTCTTATCACAAAAAATGTGAGTGTGGTCATACCACGTTGAACACTGCCAGGACAATGATGACCGTGGTAGTGATGGCAGCAAGAGGGAGGCGCACACACGGCCGCTTGACCACCGCCTCAGACACAGCTGGGAGCCACTGGCATCTTGACAGCTTCTCTGGAAACAGGCGCTGCAGAAGATAAAGGGATGGGAGGAGAAGTTGAGAAAAGGTATGAGGAGCGAGCATGTGACTTTTTCAGTCTTTAGACATCACGTGGGAGAGACTCAGTGCTCGCTATTTTGAGTGAAGGAATCTGTCTGAGAGGAGAAAACACTGCCTGTCAAGGACTCAATGTCAGAAGTCATCCATAAGTCCAAGGTTAGCTATAGAAAGCTACAGGGCCGTGAATGCAAGGAATAGCATACATGACATGTTGACTAATTCTGGCTGTGAAACACTTATGTGCACTATACACATCCTTTCCCACCTTCCTTCATTGACCAACCACTTACTATTCATAATATGTTTGTGTTATTTTTGATCTAAAAAGTGATGCTTGATATCTCAAAACTGAAGAACAAGTGCAGTGAAAGAACACCTTGATGTCTTCTTTTAAGACTTCCCTTTATAAAATGTATAAATCGTTTTTTATCACCCATTAATAAACGAACGGTTAACAGATGTGAAAAATATTATTTTTTTCCCCGGGTCGTATTTTCTGAAAAAGCTCCAGGAAGTGACATTTTATGCATGGTCTCAACGTCCTCCTCAATCCACTCCTCTTACAGAGATCAACAGTACAAACTCATCACACACTCCCGGTCTTCACCTGCCCAGCCAGAGGCCGACTTCCACACACTTCTATCCGCTCTAGGAGCTCTCAAAGGCGGACAAACTCATCACACATTCCTGCTTTCAGCAGGTTTGTAGGATGGAGAATGAATACAGACACACAGACTCCTTCACAGACTTTCACATGTGTATGTCTACTTACCTCCTCTGTAAACATTATGCATTATAACATTATAAATATTCAGTGTTTTGCGGCCGATGACGATGCTTGTTTGTGTACGTACGAGCACGTATGAAGAGCACGCGAGGGAGAGCGAGCAACAGGTTACTGGTGCAGTTCGCCTAACGGCCATACGGTATCGCTACAAAAGCAGTCTTTTTTTTAAGTTACATATAGCCCCTTTAAACATGGCGTTATGTAAAGAATGCAAAAATATTATAAATTATTTTTAAACAATCTTAGTTATAGTTTTGTGAGTAATAAAATGTAATACAATTACACAAAAAAAAAAAATTTCTAAAATAGGACAAAATATGATATGTTAGATTTAAAAACAGAATTCTTCCAACTCCAGCATCCTAAAGCAAAATGGATTTCTTCATTCCCTGACATTCGGGGTGCAACCACAGTCTCACCAGTTTAATATCTCAGGATTAATACTCAGAACATTTTTTTTTTTTTTTTTTTAAGATTACAAATCTGTGCTCTTTTGTTAATACAGTCAAACATTTCAGGAGTAAGTTTAAGGAAGTTTACTGACAGTAAGTAAACTGCAACTTCTGCTGAAGGCTTCCTGAACTTTTTAACATGTCTCATGTGGCCTTCAGATTAAAGACATACAGAATTCCACATGTATTTTTCTCTTCTACTGCAGAAGGAAATTACATTTATGAATACCAATCTTATGCAAAAACACATACGTGAGTCATGCACAAGTTATTCAGTTCAGGGCTGGACCAGAGTTATACAAGGTGGAAATTTTTACTCTGATCTACATTCAGTGTGGGTTACTGTTAGAGCTATGACAGGTTTACTTTCCCTGTGAGGCCTTCTTTTCTTCATTTTCCACATGTCTAAATGTTAGCTGGGACCAGCTGAAACTTGCACTTTAGTCACTTGATTATCAGAAAGTCAGAGGTAAGACTCCACTCATACTGACCTGTAGGTGACTGGCAAAACAGATAGCCATGGTGAGCAGCAGCACACAAACTAACACTCCAAATACGTTCCCCAACAACTGTCGACTAAGAATAGGAAAAGTCAAATGTAAGTCAAAATTCACAATTCTGTGATATAGTTTTGATATTAAATAAAAGTTCAAATGTATTCATACTCACTCTTTTGTAACAAACATCTGAACCACAAAGATACAAAGGAAGATAAAGGTGGCACAGCCTACATAGTGCTTGAACATCGGCAGATCCAGGGCTCGGTACTAAGAGGAGGAAACACAGATCACATGAGCCTCTAGTTCAGCACCAGAATGCTTGATCACAGATGTACAACAATGAGAATTTTTCCAATTATAATCTTGCAGCTTTGACTTCAACTAACCTGTTTTTCTAGGTCTTTCTTTGGAAACCAAATAGCTAGACTGCCGGTCTCTTCAGACTTTGACCACTGCCTAAGAGAGAAGAAGAAAGGCAACAACTAAATAATGGAAGAGAGGGAAGAAAAAAAGAAAGACAGGAAAACAAACACAACTTCACATTTCAAGTGTATTGAGTTTTTTTTTTTAATAAATTGACAAAAGCACTGGATCACACAGGTAATAAACAGCTGCTACACTGATCTCTTTGGATTAACAATTAACACAATAACGTTGGATTATGTTGGAAGTAACTGGAAGGCCTCTCTTGGAAAATGAAGAACAGATTTAATTTACCTTATTAATGATGAGTTGAGTTACACATTACCTTATAATTATAGATCTCATGTGAAGGACAGTCTAGGCCCATTTACCTCAGACTTTCCTCTGTGTTTGAGTGAAGTATTAAAACCAGTATATGCATATTAAAGAATAATGAAGACACTTGTGAAATCTGAACCACTAAGACTATCGGTCTACAGTTATGCTTGTTGCTTTATAAGGCTGTATTTAAGCAAAGGGATGCTTTAAGCTTAATGCTCACTATAGTAGAGTAACAATAGTAGAGTAACTTGCTAAAAAGGCGATGCTAACGTGCTAGTGAGCAGGCATTCTACTCCCTATCCCCAAAACGGCCAACATGAATTTTGTCTTGCTGGTTTACCTTAATTTTGAAGGACTCTGCATGTTGTTAGTGATCGCAGGTGGTCGAGCAATAAATGCCTCTTACCATCAAAGTGCAACCTGTTTTGCTGGATTTCCTCTGCTTTGTGTAGTTCACTACGCATTTAACCTTTAGTCTTTGTTTCATGCAATTCTGTGTAAAAAGACTTAGAGATATATATCACAGGCACAAAATGTGATTTCAATGTAAACATGGGCGTACTTGCTGCTGAGCTCATCTATAGTAGTCGTCATCTCATTGTGCAGCTCTTCATCAAATTTACTCTTCTGGGATTTGTTCCTGCACAGTAGAGAACAGAGACAGTGAGAAAAAAGCAGACAAAGAGAGGCTAAAACACGCAAAAGGACTGGAACAGATGCCTGAAAAAAGACAAAAAACAGATCAGGTCATGCAGGTTACTTCGTGTCCAGGTTAGCTGTGCATACGGGCAACTTGGTTAATGCAATTCTGAGCATTAGTGAGAAAAAGTTTAGGTTTTGTGCCTGTGAGAAAGTTGCCTAGAGGGAGTGCAAGTGTGACATTGTCTGCAGGATTCAGCGGGAGTGTCTCTGCCGTGCTTCTGCGTGGAAGCCCCCTATTCTATCGGGAAGGAAACACTCTCACAGATGCACAGATCCAGATACACACAAGCCCCAGTCAGTGATCAGTGTTAATAAGAGCATGTCAGTCTGATTACAGAGGTTACAGGTTTTCTGATGGCTTTAAGGCTGACATGTTGGCTGTAGCAGTGAGAATCAATGATAAAAGACCAGTATTACACCACTTCTTAGGTTAGTGTTTGAATTACAAGGCCTTCCACAAAGGCAGTAGTTCTCCCCCTGGGTGGCTCTCAGACAATGATTCAAAAGGTAGGTTGATTGGTGGGAATGTTGAAGTGTTTTTCTTTTCCAAACAAATGAGTAATTTTAGCCAGTACTATCACAAATAATAAAAAATTCCAACAAGAGTGTAATAATTCCTTTTTTGGAAATAGTTTGAAGCCCAGTCATTGCAAGGAGGTAAGCTGTAGTTTAAAAAAAAAGGAAACTAAAAAACTGTTGTTTACAGTCAAACCTCCTTTACTCTTGCAAAAAGTGAATATTAGCAAGCTCCATGCGTTTTTGTTCATTTTTGGGGTCAGAAGGCCAAAGGTTGGGAACTACTGCCGTGAGTGTATGTGGACCTTGTGGGCCATGAAGGCCCCACTCACTTATAGCTGCTGAATGGAGGTGTGGGCAAGGAGAACGGTTCTTCTAGACACTCATCAAAGCTGTCAGGGCCCAACAATAGGACACACATTTATCAGAACACAGCTGGAGCCAAAAGGCACACACTTTTGAAAAAGTCACCCTTTAAACATCAGTTAAAAAATATTCCTTCATTAATGTCATCAGGCCTGAGTGGGTGAGGTGCACCTTATTTTAACTCCAGACTGTTCACCACCTGCTGCTGCTTCTGCTAGATTGGACTGTGCATACATGAAATCAAATCATGATTTCAGCTACAACACAAACCTACCAACCCCTTGTGCAGTCTCCTTTAATTATAGATGACATTTTTTTAAATTACGACAATTTCTGTATGTCTAGCTGGACATCAGCAACAATGTGATGGCTGCTAGAAAATGAATACTTCAATATAATGTATTACAATTTAATTAAAAGGAAAGAAGACAGAGCAAAGACCAGTTCATATTTTACGAACATAAGGGAAAGTTCTGGCAGGTAAAGTTGATCGAAAACACATTTCTCCGGCTACCAAGATAAGCATTTAAAAAATGCAGAACCTCTAAATAGTGACCAAATGGAGACTTTATATGTCAAATCATCATTCCTGCCTTTCAAGGTTCTTACCTCTCAGTGTTGGTACCAGGGGCTGATCGTAGAGGGATGTCCTGGAATAAACATGGAAAATATTCACACAATAAGAATGCATGAAAATATGAGTCCCGAAGGCCAAACCCACCACAGCTCAATACATCTAACTTGTCCATGTGGCCTCAGGACTAAACTAGTCACTGTTTGGTTACCACTTGTCTTAGTTATACCTCTCAAACACTAAGCTGTTGTTCATTATGAAATTACAAAATCACTCAAAAGCAAAGTCTCTCATTCTTGCCTGAAGATTTAACATCCTACAGCAAATCAAAAAGTCCCTTCTTTTGTCATTGATAGTGTAAAGTCACAGTGCAGCAGTGCTTTAACAAACCCATCCTTTCATAACAGAACAATGTGTAGTTATTTTGTTGTTTTATAATCGTAACAATCGTAAGCTCGACCTCGCCTTGAATCTGAACACTATTCTTTAACATGGTCTCCGTCAGAGAATTGATATCTTAACAATAACTAAAAAACATCATGTGTACCTTCCAGCGTGGCTTGCCGTTGACAATGCTGTCTGGGGTGAATCCCTCTCGGTTCTGAAGGTGGGCAAAAGGTTTGACTGCCCCCCACGACTCCAGGTAACGGGTCATACGAACAGACGCCCTCATTTTCAGCCCATCATTCACCCGAGGTTTGGCTGCGCTGTTCAATGATGGGTCCTTGGACTTGAGAAACAAACACAAAATTGAATATTCCATTAACAGGACACTTAGCTGAAGCTCTTAGGGCTGAAAAACTAGTGAGTACACTCCTCATCATTAGAGAACACTCACCGTTGGAATGCTTTCACTAAAGCTGTGCAATCCTCTTGATTTTTTAATGGGACTTTCTAACCTGCTCTGCATCTTGTTTTGGGTGAGTTTTGTACGTACTTGTTAGAATGCCATTGATTTTAGCATGATCGCTCTGAATCAACTGGTGGACGGGTCATGTAAATTTGTTTTTATGTACTAAATGTTGTAAGGAGCGGGGGGAATATGTTAACAGAGTGATGGAGGGATTTCTTGCCAATAGAAGCATATAAACATGAAAGAAAAAAATGGTAGGCAGTAATGGATGTGGCCTAAAATGACAGATGCCTTCCACACATTAAGACCTGTAAACCAGATGATTCATCTCAATGAAAACCAAAATTTGTTCAACTACATTACTTAAATTCATCATAATAAGACCATGTGTTGTCTGTACACAGCAAATGAAATCAATAGTTACAAAATGATTAACATGTTTAAGATTATTATTTTTCCATTAATATGCTACATCATCATATCGGCAATTAAGTGTCGGAGCGTTTCCCACTCTCTGCCTAACCAGGTGTATGTTCAATCAAGACAGACAGAGAACTTACCCTTGGATCAATGACTAAGTAGGTTTGGACATTGAGTTCTTTTAAGTAGGAGTCCCTGCTGTGGCCGTTGCCTACTTCCACTTCATATGCCTTGTTGAGATGTTTGAGTGTGGCTTCTGTGATGTGAACACGCCTAACATTGATGGAAACAGAGAAACCAGCAATTAAGTCCTTGACATGGAAGAAGATATCATAAAAGATAAGGACCCTAACCCTAACCCTAACCTAACCTAACCCAACCCTAACACTAACCCTAGTTCAAAGATCTGACTTGATGGAGTTGGAAATTGTTGAGTTAAAAGTTAAAAAAAGATTGAATTTGATCCATTATTCCAATGGCATTTTTACTTTTGGTAACATGATTGAAACAGTAAACTATGGAGGTAGCTGATTGAGTCTGAATCTGAATGTAATATTAACTCTTTTTATTGCAGATACTTTATTTGTATCAAGACAATTTAATTTTAAACAGACAACAGCCTTTGTACAGAGATGCAAAAGGCTAACACCTAACCCCTTAGCCTAACACTAACCCTAACCCTACATTGGTTTTATGTGACAAAGTTTGACCAAAATTCGACTGTATCAACCGCTGACCTCTCAAATGAGTTAAAAAAGGCAAAAACATTCTGACGCTAATAGAAACCAGTTATGTCATGACATTGATTGTCATCCGATAAGTAGAAATTAATGTTGGGTACAGTTTTGTTGTTGTACAGTAACACTAAGGTGTCACTTTCACTTAACCTGAAATTACATTTTGAATCAAAATCGAAAGAAAAGACACGGTTACAAAAGTAGTGCCACTCACCCTGGAAGGCCTCCTGACTCCATGTGATTGGCCAGAGTGACATCATGAGACCAGACATCAAATTGCCATTTACGAAGGCCAATCACACCACAGAGTACGTTGCCTGAGTGCACGCCCACTCTCATGTTGATATCGACTCTTGTGGCTTCCTGGACTTGCCTGAAGGAGTTTCACATCAATACTGTAGCTCAACGGTGTTCATGATTGTCTCTTGTGCTCAACAGTCTTTTAAGGTACAATCAAAGACTGATGACCTAACATTCCCTAACATAGTCACAGAGTTCACAGTCCTTTTCATGTGTGTCTATTTTAACCACCTGTTTGGGTCAATAGCTTTAGTGAACCTCTAAGAACTGTATTCATGTACTATTTTGAACAAAACAAATACAACCTTGATGTCACTGAGTTAGGGGTTTAGTAGCTATCAATTTCACGGTGTGGTTAAAAAAGGTGGCCTCTGTGCCTTTTCCAGCTGTGCTTTTTCACAACTGGTTAAAAACTATGAACCACTAGAGTCAACATCTATTCAGACTTCCCTAATGTTGTCTTATGTTCTTTAACATTGCATTTCATTTTTTATCATGTGCAATTGTAAGAGCATGACTAAGCACAGAATGAGTCACAGTCCTGTTATACAGATAAAACACAACATCCTCTGAGATGTTCCACAGATAACTGTTAAAACATTTAAGTCTCAACATTTTGAGTCACTCAACCTGCCTTTAACATTGCTTCAACACTAAATTGGGAGACAGTGCATTATTCTGTAAGGGTTTAAGGGTTATGGTTGGCACAAACTCACTTGATGGCTTCACACATGTCCAGGCCCATTTTGACGCAGTTCTTTGCATGTTTAGGCAGAGAGACCGGCAGCCCAGATACGCAGTAGTAGCAGTCTCCAAGTATCTTTATTCTCATGCATTCATTTTCCTACAATAAATAAAAACAGAAGATACTAGATTACTAAAAAATAGAGTATTATGTGGATAGGCAGCAAAAGAGGATATGACTTCTTCAACAAACGGGAGGCGCTCAGTATGATCACAGTCCTCAACTGTTCAGGTTTAAGTGTATGCGTTGCAGCTTGATAAGAGGAGAGAGAGTTTCTGTGGTTAGCTGCCAGTAACTGAATTTTTCTAGCTAGTCTGAGGATTGAGAGGACTCTTTCTTTAAGGACCTCACGACTTCTTTCTTTACATTATAACCACTCATGTCTTTTAAAAAGGTGAGGTGCCAACCTTAAATTAAAGGGCGTTTGTTTTTTTGCAATAATACAATTTTAAATGATGACTCACCTTGGCAATTTGGTCAAACTTCCCGAATAACTCATTGAGCATAATGACTAGCTCCTTAGGAGAACAGTCGCTGGCCAATCGCGTGAAGCCCACAATGTCTGCATAAAGAATACTGAGAGAAATAAAGACAGACACATCACACTCCCATACACAGAAACATTGTCTCAGCCTTGACATGTAAAATGTGACCTTTCAAGATATAAGATTATTAATATGCAAGCTTAGCTGACTCTGCACCCTTTAAAGAAGAGACTTGATAAAGACCAAAACTGTGCTTATGGGTTTTAATGAATACAATATTTAAACATGGTCTTGCATGGCTGAGCTTGAACCTCTATGGTCTGTCTATTCAAATGTCTATTGTTCCCATACTCCCTCATGAAGCCTCATTTCTTTTTACTTGTGTCATTTTTTCCTCATTCATTTTTTCCCCTCCAGTGTGTGGAGGATTTAATTGCGCTCTGTCTGTATAAAATGACCATGATCTCTTCCTATTTAGCCTGATTTTCAGCCTCTCCTACCATTATGACATTATGAACCATAAGACAGTTATGGCCACAGAATTAGGACCAATGATTTCATGTAGAGAGGCTACAGTGTTAAAGCGGGCAGCCTTGCTTCCAATTTGACCAGTGGCTCCATGTCATTCCCCACTCTCTCTTGATCTGATTGCAGGCTCTATCCACTGTTCTGTCACTCTAATAATGGCATAAAAAGCCCAAAAACACCTCAAACCACCTCCCCTTCACTCTTGTTGACCTGATCAAGGAATGAATCAAAATGCCTGTCTGGTCTTAAGCCGAATCATATCCTTGTCATTATTGTAGCTGCTAGTCAGCAGACCCCGTAAGGACACAGATATCTGTCTCATCTGACCTGTGAAGGACCCCAGAACACTGAGAAGAACAGCTGGAAGTTTGGCAAAAGTCCAACCCACAGAGAGCACCTGACCTGCCTCTCTGTCTTAGCATGGGAACTGAAACTCTAACCTTTGCTATGAAAGTCTCTGTGACCACCATGCTCATGTCACTGAGTCACAAACTGTGCCAAACATTGTGACACGGTGTGATGAATGCTGTGCATGTAAATCACAACATGAGGGGATATATTTAATATGTTTTTAGGTGGAAATCAATGGGATCTCACTGCCATGTTTTTCTCAACAGTTAGATACAAATCCAAGAATACAGTTAATAGAGTTAACATCATTTTACACTGGATACATAAAAGCAACACCACCACAGTATCCACCATGTGTGTTTGTGTGTGATACAGTTATACACGGTGCACTTCATAAAGGCACACTACTTCTACTAGCCGTCAAAAACTTGTATCCTGACATGAATGACGGACTGTCTGCTGACCAGCAGATGGACCCTGAAACTCCACCTGACTGGCTGAAGATTAGCAGGTGCTTCATGAGACAGACAACAGAGCTAATGACTGATCTGACTGGAGTAATTATAGGGAGAGGTCAGCGATGCAGCCTATCATTCAACACCTTCTTACGATGGGCCTAACTGAACATGATGACTGCTGCCTGCACAATGACCTCTTGATTAACAAGTCGAAAACTTCTTACTTAATAGATGCCAGAACACCATTGTCTTTATGTATTTGCTTACTTTAATTTAAACTGATCAGACCCAAGTTTGCTCTTTAAAATCAAAGTTCCCACATTGAGAAAAAAATTGAATTAAAAAACTATGAAGAAGCAGCTAACCATATTTCCAGTGCCCGTGGGAATAGACTCTTAAAAGGAATTTCCTTTTTGACGTAAAACTGAGGCCGAATCTTGCCCACAATTATCAGTCAAAATGAGCTGGTGAGCCATCTGCCAAAGTTCAGCATAAGCTGACCCAATATCTGTCAGCACTTTCTAAATCACAAAACAAAGAGCTGTAACTGGGTCACTGCTCTGGAAAAAAAAACAGACAGGGTAATGATCTCCATCATTACGAGAAGCAGGGAAATCTACTACTCTTAGTTTGCACGTCTTTGCTTTCTACCATATCCAATGTGAAGTCAAAGCATAATGCTATAATAATTAAAAAAAACATTTTCAGATCATTCCAAAACATTGAAAGTTTAAAAAAAAATAAGATATTAAGGTTGTTGTCTAAATTAAAGCATTTACAAATAACTCTTTGAATAGGGTCACCTCTTACTTTTTTTTAAATTTAACTTTAGTTTAACCTTAACGAAGGGTCTCAGTAGGTTTAAAATGCTTGTTTTAAAGACACATTAACACAACACATTTATAAGGCTTTAGAACGAACACAACACATTAGAAACTGAAAGGCAAATGCACAAATTTACAAATTTAGACATCCAGAACATACAGTATAAACATTGAAAACATCTATAGTCACATGTGATCCCATCCAATCAGTTGGAATCGACTATCTAATCTAATCCTGTCATCTTACCCTAACAGGACAGTCAAAATACTTGCTTCAATATTTAACAAAAAATCCTAATTACCGGTATGTAGAAAGACACCTAAGTGTCTATTCTAGGTCCTGATTGCTGAAGACATACTTCTAACTAAATCACCCTGAGGAATGTGGTTTGACAAATACAATGAGGCTTACAGGATGAGATGATTGTATTTAACAAATGCTTCTAATGGCACTCTTTGGCTGTTCATGTATTTAAAGGAGGTTTGCTGTATTACCTGACATTCTCATGCCTCTTGACATAAAGACTGTGGAAGTTGTTATCTTTGACCAATCGCTGTTGCTCTTCTTTGTCCTTGCAGTCCTGTAAGCGCTCCATGATTGCCAGCTTCATCTTCATGGAGATGTAGACCGGCAGCACAGACTGCAGCAGGTTTTCCTGCAGAAATAAACATAATTTGCATGATTCAACATTCAAAAAGTCAGACTCCAAGACACCCCCCCATCAACAGTTTAGTTCATCTGAATCAGGGACGGTGTACAAAAAAAAAAATATTCTCAATAGAGAAGAGGCGCTTTGTACCAGATTGATCTAACTAGTTAATTTCAATCTGTTGTCCCTGGGCAGGTGATGGCAAGAGTAAAATACCTATGAACTTTTCCCTTTTCATTAATCTATCAGATCACTTTTCAGTTCAAATTAGTATCTTTTAATCTTCATAATGAAGTAATTACTCTTTTTTTTATTTACTTTTTTGTTCTTCTTTAAAGCTATTGTAGTGACACTGCAGTACTTGCACCGATCGCCACTGTTAAGGCCATACTAATGTTTTTCATAAGAATTGAGAGCAGAAGTGGTTAAAAAAGAGTTTACAGGGGTGAGTTTGGTATCAGTGATATCAACATGCTGCCTTCATAGCCTGCAGTGGGAATCACAAAATAGTGGAATAATTTTACAGACTCTGCTAGGAAAGATACACTTAACATTAATAAGAGTCTGTTTGCCACGATAGCCAGAAGCCTGTTCAATGGTTTGAGTCAGACAAAAATCTGAAGAGGCAGCTTCTCAAGAAATAATGAATCCCTCTTCAAATTCACAGACGTCAGTTAAACTCATCTGACTTATTTGGCTGAGTCAAAGTCTGTTGAGGATTTTGTTTTTACATAATACACTCACTGCGATCAAAAATCCTCTAAAGGATGTAGAATGAAATCAAGGCATGAGGGGGAAATATTATTAACGTTAAGGTGAGATAACACAAAAGCAGTGTTTGTGTGAGTGTGTATACGAATGTGTGTCAGCGCATAGATGTGTTTAAGTAAGAAAGAAAAGCAGGGTAGATGTCTGTGTGTGTTTCTGTGTAAAAACAAAATTTAAGAGGTCAATTTGTTGAGAAACATTTGTTATGTAAACATCTCCTTTAAATTGTTCACACTGAATTTCTGCAAAGTGAAGTTGTAATCAGTACAGTCATTGTTCAGGTGGGATGAGGAATGAATGTGTAAACCTTTATGTTAAATTTAAAAGGGATTTAGTTCTGGGCTACAACTGGCCAGCCTAAGGATATTCATATACTATACACGATGCTTTGCAGGAAAGCAAACGTTCAGATAACCTCTAATCAGACTGCAGGATCTCATGATTTAACATGTCATCATTTTCCGTCAGACTCTTCCTGTTAAAGCTTGCACAAGCCTGTTATTTCCCCAGAGTGTTTGTGGACCCTTTTCAGGTTGTAAAAAAAATCTCAAGGGCTAGAAATATTGAAATTGCATATTAATTTGATTTGGCGTGTTATCACAAAGATGTGAATGTGTTTTGCCTCAAAACATCCCAGCTTTTCATTCTTTAATGACTTTTAAAAAAAAAAATTAAAACACTAAAACAATACAAACATAGAAATTTAGATTTTTAATTAGTGAAGGCAAACAAAAAACAAAATAACCCAATTTCATGTTTTTTTTTAAATCAGATAGTATGCACAAAATGTGCAAAAAATCAAGGTGTTGATACATGTGTAGGAATGATTCTGTTAGACAATAAGAACGTGTTTGTGAGTGAGAGCTTGCACCGCTGTGTTGCAACCTGACCTGCTCTGGTTCACTCTGGCTGACTCTTAAAGGGTTCAAATGACCCTAGAACACAAAAATACCCCTCTTTAAGTGGTCTGAGAAAATGTGATAGTGGAAAAGTGCAAGATGTGACACGTCATTTTGTGCTGCCTATAATGTTCTAACTACCCTGTTACAAATAGGAGCCAATTTGTAATTTGGTTTACATACTACAGCCAGTTTGTAGTAAGTAAATCAAACGCCTCTTGTGTTCCTGGACTGGTAAATGTTAATCGTTGTTTGAATAGAACACACCCTGTTTAAATGTATGATATAGTCTTGTGGTGTTGCAATAGTGTTGCAATATCTATGAAGTTCCTCCTTTGTCGGTTGTGTCCTCCAAGCCAGTGGTAAGAGACCTTGCCAACACTGAGCAGAATGTTACGGAAGTATTTCCAGCCTGTGCTGTAACGAGAGCCGAAACCTGTAAAGAATAGGAGGCTAAAGTGAATGTAGAAGATGTTGTTTCGCTGCCTGTTTCTCAACTGTCCGTCTCTCGCAGAGAGTTAGTCAAGCAACAACAAGAGGATCCATCTTTGAAGGAGCTTCTGTCTCAGGTTCGTCCTGTTAAATAAATCCCCAGTGCTGCTCAGAGGTATTTCTTACAAGAGGGGTTACTGGTAAGAAAATTATTATGAGAGTTTTGCTGGATATTTAAAATTTCAAAGCCAGAAAAGTCGAGAAAAAATGTTTTGCAAACAAAACAAAAAATCCTCACAAATTCATCCTGTAGGACATGACATTGATGTGGGAGATGCCATGCCAATAAAGCAACATTTCTACAGAGCCTCCCCTGAAAAGCGGAAGCGGCTAGAGTCAGAAGTCCAGTACATGTTAGAACATGGCACTGCAGAGCCCTCAATCTCCAGCTGGGCCTCTCCTTGTTTGTTAGTCACAAAGCCAGTCACATGTTTTGTCTCCTCAAACGTAACTGGAATATACTATTAATTTATACATATTGCAGGGGACAAGGGAAATAGCATCCTTTATAACAACTAGATTGTATTCTTTCACTGTAATGCCATTTGGTTTAAGGAATGCACCTGCCACTTTCAGAAGACTTATCAACAGGGTAGTGTCTGGTTTGATGGGGTGTGCAGTATTTAGATGAAGTAGTGGTGTTTATTGACACCTGGCCAGAACATTTGCAGGACATCCAGGCACCCTTTGATTGCACTGCCTGGTAAAATCACACAGTGAACATAGCAAAGTGTGAGTTTGCTAAAGCAACTGTGACTTACCTGGGTAAGGTGGTCGGGCAGGGTTAAGTTTGTCATGTGACTGCTAAAGTGGAGGCCATTGAAAAATATTCCTTTTCCCAATACAAAGAAAGTGGTCACCCTTTGACTGATTTAGTGAGATGGAAGGTAAAGTGTCATTGGTCCGATCGTTGTCAAAAAGCTTTTGATGATGTTAAAACTCTCCTTAGCTGTGCTCCCGTGCTTATAGTTCCACGCCTTAAGGAGCCCTTTCAGTTAAAGTTAGATGCCAGGAATACAGGTGCTGCATTGTTGCAACTAGATGAATCTGGTATTGAAAGGCCAGTCAATTACAGTATTTCTCACACAAGTTCAATATTTACCAGTTAAACTATTCTATTATAGAGAAAGAGTCACTTGTGTTAAGCTGCAGACCCAGAGCTCATTCTCTCTTTCACAAGTTGTGACTGCCAGCAAACACACCAGCTCCCTTCCTGAAGCTTCTTTTGTTTTTGACCTAATTTTGACACACAAACTGTTCCACTCATCCATACACACATGACATTACTGATCTAACAGATTCTCATATTTGTCAGACTTTTTTTTGATTGAGTCAATGGCCAAAAATAAAACACTTAAAACAATAAAGTTTGTGTGAGCTTCCTTCTTTGTTACAAATAGGAGCCAATGTTTCCAAAAATTTGGGGAGCTGTAAATAGAAACAGAATGTGATGATTTGCAAAAAACTGAAACCCCATATAGAAGTAGGCACAAAGAAAAACATACATCGAAATGTAGAAATTTCATTGTTGTTAAAAATGATATGCCAATTTCCAATTTGATGCCAATGACAGTGGCAACAAAAAATGGAGAAGTTGCGAAGTGCTTAAAAAAGACCTGGTTGAACAGCTCACAGTTTTTAAGGTTAACTGGCAACAGGTTAGCAACATGATTGGGTTGAAAAAGAGCATCCCAGAGAGGCTGTGTCTTTATGGAGTTACGATGAGGAGGGATTCACCACTCTCTGACAGGCTGTGCAGGAACATTGTGCAAGAATGTAAGACTAATATTTTTTAAATAATAATCTTATTAAAAGATGAAGAGATTTTGAAGACATCTCTGTATACAATGGGATACGGCCAAAGAAAATATTAGATGGCCATTAGATGATCTTTGGTCCCCTCAGGATGGCACAGCGTTAAAAACAGAAATGGTTCTGAAGTAGACATCACTTCATGGGCTCAGAAACACTTCCAAAAATGATTGTCTGTGAACACAGTTTGTCGCAACATCCACAAATGCAAACAGGAAACTCGAAATGTCAAAACAAGAAACACTGCTGACTTCTCTGCGTCCAGTCTCATTTACAATGGAATGAGGCAACATGTGAAACTGTCCTGAGGTCTGATGAGTCAAATTTTTATATCTGTTTAGAAATCATAGACAACCGGTTTTCCTGTCTAAAGAGGAGAAGAACCATTTCAAGACAATGCCAGATAACGTACTAGATATATCGCAACAGCATTGTCAGTAATGAACGAGTCTGGGTGTTAAACAGGCCTGTCTGCAGTCTCAACTTGTCAGCCATTGAGAATGCTTGGGGCATTATGAAATGTAAAACAGGACAAAGGAGACAATGAACTGTTGAACAGCTGAAACCCCACTTTCAAAATTAAGCAGTTGTACTCGTCAGTTCCCAAACACTAAGGGCGCAGTCTCACTGGCCATCCGTACTGTACCCGAGCATGCTTCAACGCTAAAGTCTATTTTACTTTTTATTTATTTATTGCTGTGTCTCATTAAAATGGCTTAAAATAAGCGGCAAAGTCAGTAAAGTAGCTGTCATGCTCTCTGTGTTTTTCTCTGATGTGCAGACGCGGACTTGACTGCACGTCTCTTTTTCTCTCTCTCTCTCTCTCTCTCTCTCTCGTCCGCCTGTTTGTAAACTGAGCACGCTTCATAATAACATAAAGCGTGCATGTGATGTATTTCGACGTTATGTACAAGAGGTAATCGTGCTTTTAGGCACGGTTAGTCCTGGCCAGTGTGACCGCGGGCGGTGCCGGCCAGCGAGGGAATGGCGCAGCGGGGGGGCCAGTCGTGCTTGAGTACGACACGGTACAGATGGCCAGTGTGACCGCACCCTAACAGAGTGCTGTTAAAAGAAGAGGTGATGCTAGAGTGGTAAACATGACTTACTTTTTTTAAATGTGTTATTGGTATTAAATTAAATTGGGTAAATGATTTAACAAAAACAATGTTTGTTTTTTTCATATCAATATATGAGATGTTTTCTTGGGGCTAGTTGTTTAGAACATCATCACATTATGTTTTACATTTTACACAGTGAACCCACTTCCCTTTTTTTTGGAACAGGGTTGTATCTATTTACGCTTTATCATTATGACACAACTTGAGTGGGTAAAATAAACAATAGCATTGGCTCCAAAGGGGAGTGTTATTGTCTCAAAAGATATGTCTGACATCCTTCACACCCTGCCAAGACACATTTTAACAGGAACAAACTAGGCTCCTCTTGCTGAAATCAACATGGGAACACAATGTGAGTTCTTCATTGGCTCCTTTGGTGCTTCTTTGACCATTTTTTTTTATGTCTCTGACAGTTCTCTTTGGCTAACTTTGTGCACTAGGCTCCCTCTTTCAGCCCCAATTCAAATACAACAGCAAGTTTGAATGTTAACGACTATGTCATTCCTTTCTTTGTATCCTGCTAGGCAACACAGCAGCTACCCTGTCAGCACATTTAATGACCGTACTAAGCAACAGTCATAACAAATGACAAAAGGGGGAAGATTTGTTATAAAAATGTCTGCGAAGTCAAAGCAAGTGAGCAGAGATGCATTTAATTTAAAAGGCATCACAGGAAAATCTAATTTGAAAAGGATTTGTTACTCTCAATGAAAACATCCATGAGAGAGTCAACATGAGGCCAGCCAAAGGCAGAGATTAAAGATGAAATAAAATGACTAAGAGTATAGCAATAACAGTTAGTACAGAGCTTGATTCATGATTTGTCTGTAATGTTATCTTTTGATCAAGCAAAGCAACTAAAAAAAAAGATGCGATCACAATTTGATTACATTTCACAGTAAACCTTTTATATGCCTAATGAAACTGTGGTATGCCTTTTTTAATATATGATGAAATACGAGCTGTTTTTTATTCCAGATCTTATTAAAGATCTTTATTACATGAGAGTTTGATTAAAGTATTGGGGCCTAATTCAACAAAAATGTGCTTTAAGAGAGGAGTCTACTTAGAAATCCTAAAGTCAATCATAAACCCTTCCCTATTTAAACGTTGCCTGATTTGTTTTTCATACATCTTAAATATTCAGACTTTTTTTTTCATTTTCTCTTCAGTGTAGTTGTATCTTTTATTTATGGGTTAAATGTGTTTATCTTGCATGTGATTGCTTTTTATGTCTTTCTTAAAGAATTTGAATTTGTTGAATATAAAGATGTTTATTTTTAGGACACACACACGCACACGGTATGTAATGTGCCAAACGTTTCAGGGGGTTAACAACTTGCTTTCATATCTAATTCTTCAGACAAAGTGAAGCCTTTATAAACAACTGTTTGTTGGTAAATGAAGTACACTTACCTGTTGTCTCTTTTCTATCTCCAGCTTCATGCGCATGCTCAGGCACCTCAAGGTGTCTTGAAAGGTTTGCCTCAGGGTTTTCTCCATCAGCACCTTGTGGAAGGCTCCCACCACACTGCCACACAGAAATACCACCGCATTGGACAGCAGCTACAAAAACAGAGACAGCAGCAGATATAAGGTCTTAAATGAAACACAAATATACACAAACATGCATGTCTAGGATCTGTGTGTGTCCCTAGTGAAGTAGAAAATAAGGTTTTGTTTTTTTTACCTATGACAGTTCTCTAAAAGTCTGTTATCTAGATGCATTATTCAAAATATTCTAATATAATCGAAATAAGACCACTATATGGATTTATATACCACCTTCTTCTGAAATAACATATCCTGGCCTTTACTATCTCTCGCTATGGCCCTCACTTATCAATCTGGTGTAGAAACCAGCGCAGATTTGGGTGTCGTACGACAGGGTCCACGTGGGACCTATGAAACGTGCGTATCTGGCCAATCACAGCGTACGCAAGACCAGGTGTTGATAAGTGTGGCGGCTGGAAACGATCTTCATTTAAATACCACGCCTCTACTTATTCACGGTTTAGCTGTCCTCACCCCCAGAGTACACGGCATGGAGATACGTAACACGGCAAAGAAGAGAAACGAGATATGACCTGAGTGACACCATAACAGAGAAAAGTAAAGAGGAACAACATTGTGTTGTCTGGCAGTCTGAAATGTAGGATTAAAGAGCTTCAGAAGAAATGCGCCTGCATGGAAATCTCAACAGCGTTGGTGTGGATAACCAAACTCCAGCGGAGATTTTAATATTTAATTTAACATCTGTGATATGTACATAATCTAGGCTATAATATAATATTTTTTATCATTTTAGTTTAAAATACAGGCTATTGTCTTAAAAGAAGCAGCTCCCGGACCGGAGGACACCAGCCGTACCCCACCTGCAATAGAATGTCGGCTGCACTAACGGGCTCCGTGCTCGCCATTTATGAGACTTTAAAAGAGAAGAGAAACCTGAAACGTCCTGCATCACATGAATAAAGTGTTTGATCAAACGCTGTGCAATGTGCACTTCTCATCTGATTAGCCTTCTTTCCAAACATAAGAATTTAACACTTATGTCACATGTAGTCTCTGGCCTAAGTGCGTCTGCTGTGCGCAATTACGCATGTGGCACATTAGCGTATTTATTATTTTAATCTCCGGACATACCGATTAGTTATGATCTAATGTTGATGTTCTGTATTCCTAAATATTTAATATTTCAGAGGCTAAAAGTTGTATTTAGTATCCTCTGGAAGTTTGTCTGTCCTTTTAAAGTTTGTCTCAGTATTTTCTGCAGCGATATTCCTGTGCCCATGAACGTTTAACATGTATTTACTGAAAGCAGCCTCTCTAATCTTTAATCTTTAAAGTAAATCGATTAAACAAACATTAATTCATCAAATAAAACACACAACTAAAGAAATCACCTGACAGCTCGGCTGCTCAACATTATTTAAAAAGCAATGTAGCCTACAGAGATCGTTTGAGGTGTAGCGTAATATGAAATGCATTTTAGATGCCATATCTTATCTCACAGTAAATCTGTGAACCTCTATCTACCCGTCTTAACAAGCACTGTTATAGTATGATCTAATTATTCTCCAGCACAGACAGATTCGCTGCACCGCAAGTCCACACTGAGTTGAAAACATGCGTACACGAGCTGAGACCTGGCGTGGGATAAGGGCGTACCAATTGATACTCACGTCCAAATTAATAAGTGCCGAACTTTGCGTGGAAATGACCGTACAACCATTTTTCTGCCGTACGTACGTTTGATAAGTGAGGGCCTATGAGTGTATACAATACATCTTTTAATAAATGATAAACAATATTTACACAACAAAATTAACTGTAGCTTTATAAAGAGGATACACTTGTCCTTAAAATAACCCATATTGGCTTAAATTCATAATTTAGAGCTGCAGAGAATACATTAGCGTTGCAGAAGTATTTCCACAACATATTCCTATTTTTTTTCTGCTACTGGTTTTACCTGGTTGGCTAGGTAGGGAGGGGACTTTTCGCTGTAAATAGTGAGGCGCAGTGTGAGGACCAGGATGTGGGACAGTGAGGTGATGATGCTCAGCATTACAGCGTACCACAACTGAAACGGCAGCATGGTGTACACAGTAAAGATGATGAAGAGGAAGAAAGGCACCTGGAACACAAAGGTTTGATTATTTTCAAGAAGTCATCTGTTGTACCATGACTAAATCACTGGCCTCTCAAGTGTGTCGCATATCTCACAAAATGTTGTAAATATTTGCTACGTATAACCTGTTCCATGTATACTGTGCACTGTAGACCTATTATCAATGAATACAGTACTAAATCATAGCCTAACACACTGGAGTTTATGATTAACCAATGCAAATTTTTCATAAATAAATATCCAAATATTTGAGAAGGAAAATATTTAGAGTTTACAAACTACAGTTTAGATGATACAAAAATATGAAAAGGTTTTTCAGAGTTTCTTCAACTGTATTACACTGAATAATGTATTTGCTGCGTAGGACTTGTATGTCTGCAAATTTTCTTGTTATATTGTAAAAGTTGAGGTTACCTGGTCACAAGGCAGGATAATGGGTCCACTGAAGATAAAGGTGTAAGCCATGGTGAGGTGTGTGGCCCAGATAATCATGCCCAGCAGACGCCTCCATCGTTGTGAGAGCATCTCTGTACACACCACCACAAACACTGCCAGGAACACAAACAGGCTGCAGCTCACCACGCTCACAAAGGCACTGTGTTTTTCTGCACTCTGCTCCAGCAGCAAGGGAGAGGGAAAAAATAAACAGACGTTATTGCAGTTGTACAGTCATACTAACTTGTCTGATCTTATAAATATGGATGATGTAAATACGGATGATGGTTACTACAGGCAGTTCACCTATATTTACAGCAAATGCAATTCATGCAATGTCATCATTTCATACCTACAGTATATCTTTAAGTCATATTACAAGTACATGTATGCTTTAATATAACAGTTGTCATTTTCTAAATTAGTTTTTGTGACAATTTGTGCACCTTGCAAAAAAACAAAGAGACCATGCAATTACTGCTTACAACAGGTACATCTATGGCAAATGTTGAAAACATGATGTGATGCATGAAGAGGGAAACTGAAAAAACATATATAGATATTTGCACTACAAGGTAACCCACTGATATGACCATTTGTTTTGATTAATACCTGAAGATGTCTCAAAAAACATATTTAGGCTTTACCAGACCAGGCTTCACTGTAGGAATATTGTGCCTTTATTCAGGACAAATCCGTTATTGAATCCCAACCTTCATACATAGAAAACCACTGCAGACTTTTTAATCTGTTTTAAGTGTATTGCATGTGTTTCTGATTAATCTTATCCTGAGGTTTTTAAAGTAAAAATAATCTCCTGATAGAATCTGATATTTAGTAAGATCAGTGATGCTTCTCCAGGATTTTTTTCTGAGCGCCATGCACTGTTAGCTCCAGGCCACCATCTTCCTGATTGAGTTACAGTACGGTGAGAGGCAAGCATCTTACTGGAAGAGCTTGTGTGCATGTATATGTGCGGAAACATGTTTGTCTGCACATCTGTTTGTGTGTGTGAGGCTGAGTGCTATTTTGTGCATATTAATGAATGCGTCAAGGCATACTGCATGTTTGTGAGGTCTTGGGTAGGTGGGTGTGTGAGAGTGGGCGTCTGAGGGTAAGCACAAGAGAAAAGAAGGGGTTAAAAGAGCGCTCATGAGTGAGACGGATGCACGAGGTCAGTGTTAATACAGCTCTGCTCAGAGAAGGCCATCTCTGTATTGTGTGGTGAGTTTCTGGTTACCATGGCAGCATTGGAAAATGCCAGATCTCAACTGAAGCACTTTCTACTCCCTATACTGCTGTGAGTCTTGGCAAAAGATTTTTGGAGGTGGAGAAAGAACAATTATTCTGAATGAAAAGAAGCTAAAGACTATGTGTGCAGATACAACAGCATTGTTCAACCTGTGGCACATAACGACTAAAGAAACAAGTCAATGTTCTCTTGTGTAATATCTGAATACTTCATTTCATTCATTACTACAAATATAGGATAAACCATGTATTGTCTGTTTAATCTATTGCCCTGCATACTGAAAGAAAGCATTATTTATTGCAGGTCAATTTTCCTTTACACTAAATGCTCTTTTGCCCCTTCTACAAAAGTAAAAAGGTTGAAATTTTTTATACAAACTCCACAACATACTTTCATGTCACTTAGTAGTCCAAAGAGTCATTGTATGTTAATTAAATGTTAAGAAACTCAAACAACAGACTGCTCAACATCACTACATCCAATCAGAGTCTAACAGTGCGGGCTCAGCCTCTTTTTCCTCTCAGCACGGCTCTTCATCTAATGTGAATTGGAGAGGAGTTATATAAGTTGACAGTGACTTTTTGACACTGGTAACCACGCTTTAATAAGAATCTGGCCCTCCCTTTACATTTAACATCTCCTTTATACAATAAGCATCCCAACTTTTTCATCTACCTCTCCTGTACCCCTGGCAACTGTGCGTGCGGGGAGAGAGCTGAGAAGAAAGAGGACAAGGGGAGGTTGCAGGATGATATGTCCAGGGAGGGGATTAGCATATAAACATCCCACTTAACAATCTAGGAATAAATTCAACTAAAGTGAATTTGTGTGTTTGTGTATGTTTTTATGAGCAAGGGACTAAAAATACACATGAACAAATGTGTAAATATATATATATATATGAAGGACTGAGCCATTTTAAAAGGAGGGTGAAAGACCTTAATATACAATGATGAGAGAGAGGGAGTGTGCCAGAGACTCAGCAACAACACAATAGCAGGAAGATCTGATGATAAGCTGTAAGTTCATGTATGAACGGACTGGTCAATCTGCTACCTGCCATCTTGCCAAAAATAAACAGCATGTTGCTGATCAGTCAAAGTCAATGTCCGTTCCTGTCCTGTCAGAACCATAATCACACTTTATACACTGAAACAGCTACTTAAGCTTTTAAAGCGTTTTTTTGTTACTCGTGCAGCAGGGTTGTGTATTAAACAGGGAGACAATGATAAAAAACTTTGAATAGAATCTCTCTCTGTGCCGAAGTCCCCATGTCAGCATCATCCGTTGTTGAATTTTTTTTTTTTGTAGCAAAATTGAAGCGCTACTACTGTAGCTGCAGGGCTACTGGTCTGTAGCTAACCCCTTGCCCTCACTGCAAGGAAAGAAAAGACACTTTACTTATTCAAAGTAGCAATAGTTAACATGTGCCTTATGTTCCTTCATAGCTATTTTTCTTAACCGCCTCCTCACCCTCTTCTCTTCTCTGTGGAAATTAAAATGCATACTCTATTTCCATTTCTACTTCAGCGATGTCCTCCTTCACATGCAAACTGTTACACAATCACTCACTCATTTAGGCTTTGAGCAGCTGCACTGGTAGTGAAGGGGAGGTACTCTTATATTAAGTGCTTTATTTGGGTAGCTGTTGAGGAGATTAGAGTTTGTCTTTTGTCACATTTTCAGAGGCAACCTGGGGATTCAACCTGATCATCTAGATCATCATTCTTCTTGGAACATTAGGCTGATGCTGCTGTCCTCATGCACCACACAGTTTCCTTAATGTATCTCAAAAATCCTCTTTGCACCATTAAAGCAACAAGAAAACTGCTGCAGGGTTGTGATATATATTATTATACTCAATGTTCTTGAAAAATACTTATTTTTGATTCATATACATTTTATTTTTCATTTTTTACTGTGTAACAAACGAAGGATTGTAGAACATTTCAACACTTAATCTTTCACTAGCTACTGTATCGTCTTGTTTTGCAATGCTTCTCACCCTTGCAACACGTGTTGTAAGGGCCAAAATATTGAGAGGATTGTAGAGAGCATATTATTTACATATTTGGCTGATTTTTGAATGGGCCATTTTTGGCACACAAGGGTCCATATACAGAAGGTGTTAGTTCCTCATTTCTGGTAACAGCCGAGTGACAATTGAAAAGATCTTTGTTTTTCAAGGACTTTCTTCATCAACTGTGATGAAAATGTGTGTTATTAGTATTGTTTAATGTCTCTCTGGAAAAAGTATGTGTAGGAGTTAATTACAAATCAAAGCCTTGATGGAACACTTCCTATCTCAATTACTGTTTATTATTAGGGTAATGTCAAGTAAACTTTAGTCTGGTTTGAAGGTTTAAAGGAGTCAAAGTTAAATAAAAACCTCACAGATTTCTGCATTACATAAATTACTCAATGTGTGAATGACGTGGAATCTGCAAAACATGTTATGTTTCTCTTTGTGAAAGTAAAGACTCACCAGTCCAAGTGCAAAAAAGATGATGAGGAGGATCCCACAGGACAGTATGGAGAGGCACAGCAGGAGAACCAGCGGCTGATACTGGCTAATGCAGGAGAATTTGCGGTAAAGTGCCTCATTTTTCAGCTCCTGGTCATTTAACAGGTACTTCCCCTTAGCCGGCATGGCTCGAATGTCTTAGAGAGGCATATCAAGTGTTAAGCATTGGAGAGCTGTGTATGTCTCCACAACTTCTGTGAGTGTGTGTGTGGCGGGGATGGAGAGGGGGAGGGGATGCCAATACTTTATTAGGAAGAGCTCCACAGTTTAAGATCTGATAGGGACCCTTAGCTAGCTCATGACGCACAAATTAAACTTTTGTTTTTCCTTCGGCATGACATCTTGAATGTGGCAGCTCTATCCAGGCCTTACTGTGTGAGCCTCTCTCTCTCCAGTTCTCTTCCCTCCGCTGGTCCTTTTGTGTTGTCTATCCTCTGTCTGGAGTTGGCAGGCAGGCCCGCTTCATCATTTGCCAGCTACTGTGTTGCTCCCTTCACTGGGTTTGAGTAATAAGCCCAGGGCAGGGAGAGACAGAGAAGGAGGGGAGGGGACTTTAAGAAAGGGGAGGAGATATGGAGGAAGAGCTTGAGGAAAATAGGAATTGGTTAGGGCCGTAACAAAGGTCACCAGTGATCCCAATAGCTGTCATGAAGTGATGAGGTCAGCAGTTCCACTTCTTCAAGGCACCTGAAATGAGGCGACATGAGAAAGAAAGGTTTAGAGGCATACCCCGACAAAACAGACACTGTCTGAGGTCAAACTTTGAAATTAACAAAGATAATTATCAAATTATTACAATACTCTCATAGGCCTTTAAAAAGTGGCAGTAAAAAGCAGATGACAATCAAGTCAATATATGATACCCTGAGAATACTTTGAGAATGCAACACAAATGTCCAGATCCAGGGATGAGCTTGTGCTTAGTCATACCTGAAATTCCCACAATGAAATCCCCATGTCTGTTTACCCCAGGGTCCAGGCTCATTTCTGGCCAGAACTTTTAGAGAAAGCAACCATAATAATGGGCAGCACTGCTAATGAGAGCAGTGTCTTTTTGGGCCATTTGCTGAACAGAAACAACATTGTGGAATGAACTTTCAAACAGTCACAACAGAACCCACAAACCACTTGAATTTTCATCAGATGAACCAACAAACAAGACAGATCCTCAACCGAGGTCACAGTAATAAAAAGAGACAACAGACACAGAAAAAGACACTTGAGAATATATGCAAGAAGACTCAAGGTGTAAGAATATATGCAATCCATAACTGTATGCATCTACATTTGTGTATTAAAAGACAGTGTTTTACAATTGGCTTTATGATCAGAAAGTGCATATTGTCTGTTTATAATTAAGGACAATCACTTTCAAATCAGTCACAGCACACACAAAAAAGTGTCTTTTGTACTTCATTTTCAGTCAAACCACAAATCCAATGAAGCTTCAAGATCCTTATTACTTTGGCCTTTTTCACCAGGACGGTAAATATAAAACCAAACCTTGAATATGAGCAGTTTATCCTCTGCCTCATAAAGGACAGCGTTGTATTTACACTACTGAGCCTGAAAGACCATGCCAGGAAGGCTTTGTGGAAGCATACACTGTAGATATCTCTTTAAACAATTAGAGCCCTTTAGCTGAGCTGCAGGAAGACCTGACAATCACAATCCATCGAAGGGCAAATGCAGTGAGGTAATGCGAACATTATGGTGAAGAAAATCATGCTGAAATTCTTCTGAAAATGTTAGGGTTTGAAAAACAAAACAATGAAGAGGATAATTTACAACTGCCCCTTTCAAGCAACTAAGAGCTTAATGTATTCATTTCAAGAGGAGACATTCTATTGGATTATAGTTCAATAGAAACAACGTGAACTTCGCACTGCTGTCAATAGAAACCTAATTTCCTCTGGTTGCTAATATCGTTATGTGCAGTGTGTGCGAGTCATTGCCTCGTGTTTGTCTCTCAAATAGCAACTGTAACGTATGCTACGTGCCATAAAAACTAAAGATTAGAGCAGAAAAAGGAAAGGCCTCACTCACACACACACACACACACACACACACACACACACACCTGTTGCATTGTTTACAAGTGAATAGCAAGCTTGAATGCTTCCATCACATAGTGATAAAACGCACCACCACGGTAAGCATTTTTATAACATCGCCCAAATGTTTACAACCACTTTAAACTTTCCCTTTACTACTGGTGCTGGACAGAGCAGCATCCAGCCAGCTCTCCCCAGTCCCAGATAATACACCAGCAGCAGTGTGAGGGTAGTAAAAGCAGGACGGAGATCAGGGAGGTGAAACATACCTCTGGTGAGGGATTGTGTCCTCTTACATCAATAAAAAACCATCTGCAAGAATGGAGCCCTAAGTGGATGTTTTCCCTGGGGGAATCATTTACTCCCAATAACTATTATACCATGTCTAAATCTTAAACCTTGGAACTTGTGTATGCAGTGCTGACAACATTATCTTAAATCGAACCATAAATGCAATATAGAACATAACAATGAAAAACTATATATATTTATGTATATGTAAAACTAGTAGCTGTTTGACAGTAGTATGACAGCTCTAATGCGGATGTTTTTGCTTTAACCTTTCCTCCAGATAAATACTGCCTGAATTTGTATTGTGTCTCAGAAAATCATACACAGATCAACCAGTAAGTGACAAGACTGAACATGACTAAGAAGCAAGCCCAAGTGTAATCATGGACTAAAGCCAATACGCCTGTAAGGTACTGAATACAACATGTAAAGGAATTAAAAGGTTACTAAAATGTCCAATAATTATTGATCAGGAGTAGATCTCTCAGTGACTTGGAAATTAAAAGATTTGTCTGGTCTTTGACTGTCATTTCACACAGCAAAAACTCTCATTTACCCAGTGTTTAAGATCCTCCCCTAAATAGGCTTTTTATACTTTACCCCTACAGTTACCATGGCAAATAAGCAGCACTATCAGACCTGTGGTTTTGGTTGAACACAGAAAAAGGATGTATGCTTCAATAGAGACAAGTCTCTCAACAAGTGTTGATGAATAGCTTAAACTGTGCTGCACTGACTGCCAGGTCTTTTACTTTGAAAGCTTGGCAATTTAGGGAATCACACAGAAGCCTCGTAAACTGGCGTCACTGAATCCTGGCACAGCAGCCATACAAAACCAACTGACATCACTGCATGAATGCTACTGAGATACAGGAACCAACATGCAGGCCCTTATGTCAAAAAATAGATAAGGAGAAGTGTGACAGAATCTGAGAACTGTGTGTGTGTGTGTGTGTGTGTGTGTGTGTGTGTGTGTGTGTGTGTGTGTGTGTGTGTGTGTGTGTGTGTGTGTGTGTGTGTGTGTGTGTGAAACCATGCTATGGGAGTTTCACAAAATACATTGAGACAGGTGGATTAAAATATAAACTTTTCAGAGAACATTGATAAGTTGAGTCTTGAAGTTCTCAATTGACCCTTTATTGGCTGTCTGATGGGTTGCTGACTCACCAATCAGAGAGCCCCCTCTCATAGCAACCGTTGCTGGGCTACTTCCGGTGAGACAAACATTCCCCTTGGCCATGTGTTTTCAGTGCGTCCTGGTGAAATTGTGATCTTAATTTTGTACAACATGCTTAAAGGTTGTTGTTTTTTTAACATTGTTAAAAGTTGTGCTTGGGCTGACACAAGATTTCCACATTGTAATCCCAGAATTTTTTTATGGAACAGTAACATTTAGCACAAAAGTGTTCTTGGGGTGAATGTCAAATTGTGCACATAACTCTCAATTGTTTATTGAAGGCCCTATTGCCAACATTTAGAGCATATGTCAGACCACTGGCAGCAGAAATGTTCACTGATGGAGTCCAGAGGTAAGTCAGAGGAGGTGAGACAGCTAGCAGCACCGTAGGACAGCTAATATAACCCGACAACCCTAGCATCAGACATTTGTCATATTTCAAATGATTCTAACACATTTTTAGAGATTTCAAGTTATCCATAACCCTACCGTATCTTTGCAGTGTTTCCCACACATGGACGGTACCTGGGCGGCGTACGCGTACTCCACCGCCCAGGTATCTTGTCATTATTTGTCTTTATTCTTTCGCTTAGGCCAAGTTTAGAAAATAATCAAATCTACAAAAATGAAAGTCATTCAAACCGTGGGTCATTTTCAATTGTTTCAAATGGGAAGGAGCTTGGAAACAAGAGATTTTTTTGGTTGAGAGGCGACGACTCTACCAACTGAGCCACAGCTGCCCCTGTCATATTTCAAATGATTCTAACACATTTATAGAGATTTCGAGTTATCCTCATACACCCTACCGCATCTTTGCAGAGTTTCCCACACATAGACAGTGTGGTCCCAAGAACACTAGCTTCTGTTGAACAGCAGAGTGACATGTTTAGCCTCCAGGAAACAAAGGAGGGATGGGCATCTGTTGGGCAGCCTAAAAATGCCAGATGCCTGGCAAGAAACAAGGCTGATGGGGGAGATCTGTCACTCAGCTGGATATAATCCAATCCCCCCTGTATTTCAAAGGTAACACAATTTGTGTTGTTTTGGCTCTGTATTTAAGATTATGTTGACTTTGAGGTTGAAGTTCTGACTTTGGGCTTGCAAATTTACCTTTCACTTATGCCTGATAAAGGGCTAAATGATGTTAGGAGATTTACCTTAAAATAGCATGATAAGTTCCTCATCACTTATAGTGCCATATATTTTGATAGTGTCAATTTTCTGTTTGAATTCTGCACCAGAATGGTCAACTAGTGTCTTCCATGTAATCATCTCATAGGTAACAAACCAATCTTTGTTAAAGATCTGGTCAGATCTTCCTTGTGGCTTCGCCGGCTTCAAAGCCTTTTCAGTGAGAGCAAACAGGCAGGGCCCTTTCCTCAGCAAATCACTCTGCTTTTATGGCCGTCTTTGTGTTGGCATTCAATACGCTTGGACAAAAAAAAAAGGGACAAAGAGTGACCTCTGTAAAAGAAAACAGTGAATCGCATTTCTCAGCCCAGGGTGAAAGGTAGTGGGGGTAAAGGTCAGTTTAACGTAAAGGAACAGGCTCACGTACATCAGCTGTTGAGCTTGCTCACTCCCATCAAACACTTAGGTCAAAATACCCTAAGATAAGCTTTTGGCTCCAATGAATTTCTACATCTAACACTTGTATTATAAATGTGCGTTCACCTAAAACTGAAACCATTCATGTGTGACAAGTTAATCATTGCAAGTTACTTAGCACTGGAAAACACTCTATTACGCAGTCAACTTTGATGGCTACACTTCTGTACAAAAGAAATACATAATAAATACAGAAGTAACAGGCTTACTAAATGTAGTTTTGAGTTTCAGTCCTCTATGTATGCTGGCTCTCTTTGCCTTAGCCACATTTGGGTTTCTTTTTATTTTCAGGCTACTTTATTGAGTCAGATTAATGTCAATAGTTTAGACATAGTTTAGTTTAGCTACCCCTGAATTGTCCCAACTAATTATTTAGCCAAAAAATTTAAATAATCTATGCTGATCTCCGAATGCATGTTCAGCCTGTGGAGAGAGCATTTATAGAGACAGCTGTCACATATGTCTTTGTTAGCAGAGACCCCAGACTGCAGTGGATTCCATTCACTTAACAGATAGACCTGAGATATACAGAGCAACCACAGGCTTTATCATTGAAT